ATATTGATGGAATATTGCTAAAAGCGGCGTAAAACCACACTCACTCACTCTAATGTAACGAGTCATCATGTGCCGTCTCCGTGACTCATTTTGAATGATTTAATAGTTGGAAATATCAAGCAGTTGGTATGATGTGAAACGTGATTGTAGAGACGTTAGAAATGGCATTGCTCACAAACATATTCGGAATTTCAAAAATGAGTGCATAGGAATAAAACATCGAATACTAGTTTCCAGTAATTCCCGGAGATTGAACAATAATCCATGATATTATATCACCATTCAATTCGGAAAAATACTCTATAGATTCGTTCGCTGCCATGTCTTCTTGTCTGTCATACAGACCCTAAAACAAATATATCTAATATTAGCCCATGCAAGTCTATAATGTTTGGCATGTCTATACTCCTGCAGTATCAGGTTCTGTACAAATCTGCTGAATTCGCAAGCGAGCACGGAGCTTGTAATTATCAGTCAATCTCTAGCTGTCATTCGTGTTTAGTATTAGCACATAGTGAGCCTCCTCCCCCACTCCCCAACACCCCACACTGAGCCAAGACCTGCTCCTGCTCTTCCCGGCCACACTGGGCTGGCAACATAGGTCATTCCACTGACTACATGTTTCTACCGTCGGATGGATGAAAGCAGAGACCATATAATATTATATGGTCTCTGATGAAAGGCATCCATGGTGACATAGAAAAGCTCTGTATTTTCTTTAGTTGCTTCATTGTTACCCTAGTGAGGAGAGAGAGGGATTGCTAAAAGTTTCGCATTTCTGAAAATGAAAAGTCTCTTGGCTCCTTTTTATCATATTTTATAACTATAATTTAACAACTGTTTCTTTCTGTACAATATGTTCATTCAAAGACTAGATGTTAGTCTACCAGTCTTCGTCCAGGTATATGACGTCTGGTACCGAGTCCAATTCGCATGAAACGACTCTAAATATAGCCGTCCACTCAAATTACACTGATGAATCAAGAATCAAGGATATTTTATTGTAAAATAACGCCCACTTGGGACCTGGTACAAAATAGAGTATTTATATGGTGTGTATATATATATATTTGACACAAATGCATGAAAACATGTGCGAGTGAAATTCTGTGGAAAGTTCGTACGTATACGTTCGATTATCAAAATCTAAGTGAGTGAGATGGGTTTCACGCCGCTTTTAACAGTATTCCAGTTTTATCACAGCGTGTCAGCTTAATGTGGGAGGAAAACCCCGAAGTGATGCACTTCGGTGGAACCCACGAGAACGGTGCTGACAAACCTAGAAACATAATCGGGGTGAACCGGGATTCGAGCCCACAATCATAGGTTTCTGGCGTGCCCAAGGGACGCAACTGCACAGCGAATTGCGGCGACTTAGACGACTGGGCCACCCGTGCCCCCTTCAAACTCTAAGGAAGCCGAGTCAACCCAGGTTACCACAGAGATGTCTGAGAGCCAGGAATGACTAACTTCAACCAGAGTTAGCCAGTGTTATAAAACCATGTAGAAGTATTCTTTCAGTGCTGGCTAAGTGCCGGTACAGATAATTTTTTGTATATTAAATCGCTAACTTAAGGTATTTTCATTTGAAAATCAAACATATTATAAAATCAACTAAGGGGTATAGTTTCTTTCGCTCCTAAGTTTAATACAAAATAGCTGCAGGTGGAGAAAGAGTGAGTGTGTGAGTATGGTTTTACGCCGCTTTTAGCAATATTCCAGCAATATCACGGCGGGGAACACCAGAGATGGGCTTCACACGTTGAACCAATGTCGGGAATCGAACCCGGGTCTTCGGCGTGACGAGCGAACGCTTTAACCACTGGGCTAGCCGACCGCCCAGGTGGAGAAAGACTATATGGAATGCTATAACACAAAGCTATAAGAGGACAATTGTTTCATTGTTTGACAAAGCAGTGGTTGTACCTTTTCCTATTAAAACATGTAAAACGACAAGGAAGTTAAATATAACGTGTAGAACATGAAACAGAGATGCAAAATTGTCCTCAAGGTAACATTATGGATTGTAAAATATTTATATCAACAATCGAAAGTTATGTTTGTATCAAATTGTATCATTAGATATATACCATCAATACCTGTTAACTACATATATGATTAGTATAAGAAATAATAGCAGTAGTGGTAACAGTAGAGTGGGTGAGCATTGTTGTACGCCGCTTTTATCAATATTGCAGGGATTCACACATTGTAGGGAATCGAACCCAGGCCTTCGGCGTGTCGTGCGAACGCATAATCGCAAGGCTAACACACCGCCCAGTAGCAGATCCCTCTACCTTAAAGTAATTATAAATCATAGAATAATTAACAAAATTCTATGTACCTCTGAAGTTAAAACTACTTTTTTTTATCACAAGGCACTGAACTGCGTATTAATTATTGTGCAAAAACAACACGTACGTCAGTCCGTTACAACTCTTTCACGTGTCACTCCAGGTTCGCGATAATAATGACAGATATAAGACGCAACGATCAAAGCCTGGCGTCAAACGCAATAAAAGACCCTGCCAGTCGTTAAGCGTACCGGTGCATGCCTTTAATTAGCACGTGGACAATGCTATCAGCACGCCTCCCTGTCAATCACAGAACACTTAAAAGGGATGCCGCGAACACCGTCCGCCCAGTCATTTACATGTTTGTCTTCTGGGATTATCCGGGGTATTGTTTTATTAACTAAATTAGATTACCGTTGTCGCCATAATGATTTTTCAGGACGTGTCAAATCAGCAAATTGTTCAATAAACACACCACGACAGACAGCTAATACTTGTTAATCTACTCACAAGATAGCGAATATTAGCGATGTGGTTTTCTTAATCTCTGCACTGAATAACGCATCATACGAAGCTACGTACCAAATAGTGTGTAGTATATTACTGATACACTCTACTCGCTTTTATCTAGAAGATATTGACAAGTATATCATTTCGGGTAGCATCGCATTGTCATCCGACTGGTTCGTGTGCCGACTGGTTCGTGCGAAATGCTTACTCGGGACTGCAAATAGCTCGCTTTGTCACAATCCTCCGGCAAAACAGGCTATGACGTCAGTGCTCGATTTTAACCAACCGTGACGTCACGCGTTTACGCCACAAGTGTATAATATTCCTACGTTAACCGCAATATCCGTTTTTTACTATGTGCATTCTGACTACTCCTGAACACGCGTGAATAAAACACTTGTGTCCCACACATTAACGCTTGTCACGGATACATATTTTTTTTATTCACACTGCTGTGTACAGGAGCATTAAAAATACATTGCTTACACTGATGAGGAAATATCCGCGTTTACACCTATTTCATATACCCGGATACCGTCAATGTCAAATGGAGTGTTCATCGTCTGCTGTAATAATAAAAATAAAAATAATAACTTCTATGATTGGCATTTAGAAGTTGGAATATTAAGTAAGGATAAGAATTTATGGATGATAATAAAAAAGTTGTCCATAAATTCTTATCCTTAAATCATCATCATCATCATCATCATCATCATCATCATCATAATAATAATAATAACAACAACAATAATAATAATATTATTATTATAATTATTGCTGTTGTTGTTACACCATGTCTACGTGGAAAGTGTTTATATGTTAATACTGTCCTACTTGCACCCAGTTTACAATTCATTATGTAGTGATGGAATACGGTCTTTCTTGGTACCCTGTAATGTTAATCAAGTGTCGAAAAAACCGTTCCATCGCCGCCACGTAATGGATGACAGTAAGCTTGAGGGGAGCAGCACTGTAGACCCAGATGGCCACGTCACTCCAGGGGGTCTGTCACAGAATCTCACCCATAATAATGTTGATGTCTCTCTCGTAACATGTGATAATGTCGTAATTAACAGTTTCGCGAATACCCAAATGGATGCAAGTATTACAAGTATATAAGTTAAAACCACATACCAGAACATGTATATTGGAGAGGGAGGGGGATGACTTTTTGTGAATTTTGTGGAAAACTGTCTAAACTGTCCGCAGGTGAAATGTGTTCTGGAAAAACAAAAATTACAAATACCTTGGTATGATATATGAGGTACTTTGTGAAGGCCTAAGCCTGAAATGTAACACATAGCACAAACCACCTTGCATAATAATACATTGCATTTGTTATATTACAACTACAGTTTATTTGATACACCACCTATGTATATGATAAACATATTCTTAGAAATAAATTGTAATTAATAATTCAAATTCTGTTTCATAAAATAAAAAAAGAGATGATTATGGTATTTTTACAATGAAAATATGAGAAAGAAAGGTAATATATGCGCGCCCGAAATGCACAACACTGAAGAACATTTCTAATACTGACAACAATCATATAATACAAACTGCACCCACATTCTCCACTACAGCGGTTCTTCTAGACGTCTACTTATTAATTTGTCGCGGCTTGGCTATATGACACAGGCAGGTCGAGACAATATGTGGAAACAAAGGAAGATTGTTTTCTTCCCGTGGATTTGTATAATACTAAAATGCAAGAACAGCTTACAGTTTTGAATCTCAATCAGAGACCGGTATGTGGTCTCTGCCTTAATGAATATCTCAAGTTTGAATATAAAATATAGTTAATTTATTTACAAGTTTCAAATCAGTGATACTCCCTTGTGTTTAAAGGATATAGTGTATCTACAATATTTCCGTACTTTTCGTTCACGGATCGTGTAATTATTGTTTTATCACATGTAAAACATTGTTGACTTCAAACTGAGTACGAGTACCGAGAAACAAACGGAGTTTACTATACTCTTTCTGGTTCACATTTCATTTCTGATTACATTAACTGCTTTTCAAAGGTATTTATTATGACATTACATTCATACACCATCGGAAATGTGTCATTTGTTAGTTATTTCAATTAGGAAGTGCTGAGATCGCAGTATTTGTCTTTCTACTGTTGTTTACCTGTCACTGTTATGTCGTGTGCGCGAGTCACAGTCTGCGCATGCTCAATGAGATAAAATTGGGACTTAGCCGCACACGCAGCTAGATTTCCTCCGCCATTGCAAAGAGGAATATCAAGCGAAAAGATTTTGTGAATATGGCAAGTGCCGACGAATTTGGTAGCATTAATCACTCGATGGTGAGTACGATTTCGTTGTTGAATATTTTGAAACAGTTAATTCTGTTGTATATTGACCATGATTGTTTGATTTGTCGGGGGGCTAGGGTACCAGACAAAGCGCCTCGCTGAGACTAAGTCAAGATGGCTGAAAATTTTTCAGAGTCCGAACTGCTCGGCGGGTCAATGTGGTCTTTTTGTGTTAACATATCAGAGTCCCCCCGGGATAATTGATCAGATTTTTGGATTTTATTTGTTTTGTGGATCATAAACTCTATCTTACAATTTTCAGGACTCCGGCAGTTCCTCGGAAAGGCCAGAATCTGGTGAGTAAATGTGTAGCAGGTGCGAAATGGATGTTCGGACTTAGTCTCGTGAAAGGACAAATCAGATTCCGGCGTTCGAGAGCCTAAGTCCAACACAACAACATTTCCTTGGAAATTCGCCACCATTGTTGTCCTTATAGATTTTATATGTGAAAATGTATAAGGTTATATTGTATAATAAGGATTTTTGCCTTTACATAAACTTTTCAGTGCTTGTAACAAGTGTTTCGACTTAGGCGAAGGAAGCCTGGCTTGGCTACCAAATCAACACTGGCTTCAGGCGCGGGAGACTTTTAAATATTGATCGATTGTGAGCTCATTCATTGATTGTTGTCGGTGTCCTTGATTTGGTATTTTGAAGATTGATATGTCATAAGCCAGTTTTAACAAAGGGGTTTCGGAAAAAGTATCCGTGGTGTTGTTAAACTTCTTTGTTTCCGCTTCGAACTAAATGTTTCTCCCTCACATGTGACCGCACTCACCTCATTTGCATATTCATGAAGATGAAGATTTGTACCGCCCCTTTTACTTGTTCACCTTTGCGGCACCGTAAGAATCTTTATTTAAATGCCAAATAGTTAACTATTATTTGAACTGCAAATCCATTTTCGTTTTCTCAACAAAACAATGCATTTACCAATCTCCGTGAACATGTAAAGGTAGATTTAATTCTTTATTTTTTTTAGCTTTGCAGTTGAAAGTATAACATTTTAATATGAACTTTAGTTATGAAATATGATGTTCTTGTTAATGATGATGTTGACGGCCTTGTGGTGGTTATTTAGGTAGGATTAGACAATACAACATTGGCATAATGAAGAAATTGGAGTGATGTTTGTTTATGGAAATTGAACTGAAAAATTAGATTCTCAATAATGTTTCAAGAAATAATCATTTCTTTTAAAAATTCATTAAGTGGTTGCCAAATTACTTGACTGAATTCTCTAATTCTGCTCTCACCAAAAACTTGTTCAACCTTTTTAGTTAGTGTTTTTTACAGATTTTCACCAGGATACATATTGCTGCTTTGGTTTCCTTGTAATGCTTTTCTAATTTTCTTGTCTGTACAACATACTAGGAGATAATAATTTATTTATTTTAAATTGTCAACTTTTTCTATTGAATTTCTTTTCATGATATGTTCACAGTTGAACTTGTGAAATCAATGTTATGAACCTGAAGCTGGATGTTGCTTAAAGATATTGCCATTTCCCGGGTGTGAGATTAAGGCCATGATATCTTACTTTGTGTACATTTGTTCAAACCCAAGTCGGACACCAAAATGGCGACAAATATAATATGTGTTGCCTTTCATCTGAGCCACTAGCCTTGAGACAAAATCTTGTAAGAAAATGTTTTGACTAGCCCGTTTGCCTTTGTTGATAATGCCGAAATGTTTAAATCTTTTGTTATTAATGAGACAGTATTAGTTCAAGGTAGTAGAATTTCTTTTGCCTAGACGTAGACTGTATTGGTCTTTGTTTGCCATTGAAATGGCAGTTATAGAGTTACTTTGTATCCACCATTCCACCAATAACCCCATGGGCGGTTGGGCAGCCTAGTGGTTAAAGCTCTCACTCGCATCACCAAAGACACGGGTTCGATTCCCAACATGGGTACAATGTGTGAAGCCCATTTCTGGTGTCCCCCACTATGATATTGCTTGAATATTGCTAAAAGCGGCGTAAAATCAAACTCACCAATAACCCCATCAGTTTTGGACAGATAAAGGTGATCAAGGTATGTCATTTTGCCATCCTTGGGATCAGTGTTTCTAATGTCAGAGTTTTGTTGCAGCAGAAGTTCTAAAGAAGAAGATGCAGAACGGAGGGAGTGGAGAACCAGCTGCCAACCATGTCTCATCCAATGGTCTGTCCAACCATGTGTCTGACAAACATGAAGCGGGAGACAAACACAAGGACAAACATCGAGAACACAGCAGTAGTAAGTCTAAAGACCACCACCATAGTTCCAGCAAACATCACAGCTCCTCATCCTCATCCAAGGACAAACACAGAGATGGAAGCTCAAAACATAAAGATGGCAGCAGCTCAAAGCATCATTCCTCCAGCTCCTCCAGCAAGCATAAGGATGGTCATAGCTCTAGCAGCAAGCACAAGGATGGGAGCTCTTCCTCCAGCAGCAAGGACAAGCACCACAGTAGCAGCCATTCCAGCAGCAAAGACAAACATCATAGCAGCAGCAGCTCCTCAGATAAACACAAGGACCGACATAAGGATGGACACAAATCGTCTTCTTCATCACCAGACAAACATAAGTCCTCAAACTCATCATCAGATAAACACAAGTCAAGCTCATCTGACAAACATAAGTCCTCCTCACCGGACAAGCATAAGTCCAGCAGTTCATCAAGTAGGAGTAAAGATCACTCCTCTTCATCACACAGCTCCAGTAAGGACAAGTCAAGGGACAAGGAAAGACATCATAAGGAGAAACGGGACAAGCATGAGAAGCCAAGTGTAAAAACAGAAGCAGGGGTACCATCAATTGGCTCAGATGTTGACATGAAGTCGGATGAAGATCCTTCACCACCAAAGCCAGTTGTCAAGGCGGAACCAATGAGTGATGATGATGACAAACCTCTGGTATGTATTTTAGTCAGAGCATTGAGTACTAATTTTTTTACTTCTGAAAATGTGTGGACGTTATGTGGATCAAGAAAGAACTTAGTACAGTAAACTATGGTTATAACAAACTCAAGGAACCACTAATTTTAGTTTGTAATAAACGTAGGTCGTTATAAGCATATATACAGCATATAATTATATACACAAATGGCCGGTGACCAAAAAATATGTTTGTTATATATCCGTCAGTTTGTTATAAGCATGTTCATTATGAACATAGTTCACTGTAATAGGTATGTGGTGTAGCAAATAGTACATGGGTGGAATTTAAAGTAGAAGAGGAAAGTGGATTGCAGCTCTGTAGATGATATTGTAGTTGACCAACCTCATTAAAACCAGACTTTGGTTCTCACTAAACTCAGATCTGAGGGCATACCATTGCAGGTCACGTCAGAACAACCTTTCGAATGATCAATGAAATGGATAACAAGAAGGTGTCATTAGCCAATCAGAAAGCAGCTCTCTAGTGCTATACAGCACTATTTTCAAACTGGCGACTTCTATTCCAGACTATGCTTTGAAACATATTTTGACAAAGGTCTTCAAAAATTGAACAAAGAACAAAGAACATTCTTGAATGTCCAATAGATGACCCAGATTGTATGGCAATATGTCCCATAGTCTATGTAAAGTCTCTTCCTTTCAAATGTTTATCCCAGGGAAGCGAGAGATAGATGATGATTTAAACGGAAATGTTCTTCGGAATACCACATATTAACCTTTTCGAAAATCATGATAAGCAACACATTCTGACTATCTCTTTCCTGATCTGGTAATCAATGTTCTGACTGGTCAGTTGGAGGGCCCGTAGGTCCTCCTACCATTGTGCCCCCCTCCATTCATGATGTCAACTATTACACATAACAACATGATAGTCTCTGAAACAACTTTTTCCACTGATTGGAATAAAAATAACAAACAGTATACATTGTTTGGTACAGGGTATTCTTTGCTGAGTACTGTATTGACATTTAATACGCTATTCCCGATATTGAGTTATTTTGCAATTCATCATTCTCATTTGGAGCGAGATGGACTGTGCCTGTACTAACGTCATATTTTGCATTGTTTCACTCTCTCATTGTCATATGTTTCTGAGACTACTTTTGTGCTTTTTTATTAATCAGTTAAGACATGAGTTATGGATGGCTAATACTAAAATGTATGTGTTCTGCAGTCTGCCAGAATCAAGGAGGAGCCAGTTGCACAGAAGAGGTCCTACAAAGAAGAGTCCTCAGATGATGAACCCTTGTCATCAAGGTCAGTCTCCGACGTCTGATTGGCTGGTGGGATGTACTCAGTGATTTGTCCAGGATTCGAGACTGAGTGCTATTTGGGGGGGGGGGGGGGGGGGGGGGGGGGGGGGGTCAGTGATATACAAGTCACCTGTGCAAAGCCACAACATTGATTATTACACTATTACATGCATTTGGAAATTTATAATTCCACTTCGGGAATATTTACTGACATTTGCTGCAGACCTAGGTCCAAATATTGGCCTCTGAATATGCCTAGATATATCCCAGGTGCTTTTTTGATGATTGATGACATCTTGTAGTTAGTTATTTTTTAATAAATGTAAATTATTTTTGTTTTGTTTTTAAATGTAGATAAATATTCAAGTCAGGTGTTTGAATTATGTATGAAAGTCAATAGACCCTTGTCATTCATTACCCTAATGTTTAAACTGAAATAGAGTCCGTAGATTCAAATACTAGAGCAACAGTGTGAAGGACTCCTTTGTTTTGAACACTAAAGTATAAAAAACACCCAGCAAATGGTAGCCGGGTCATGAAGAGAAACTGTTGTCTCTAACTGTGTATTTATGCATTTCTGTGCCCTGGGTAAATACAGTAATGATGTTATTTGGTTTACATTTTCAGGGTTGAGAAAGTTAAGAAAGTGAAGGTTGAGGACAAGAAAGTCAATAAGAAGAGAAAGGCGGAAGAAGAGGAGGTGGAGGAATTCAAACCAGTTAGTTACTTGCCTGTCACTTGACATCATTTTCAGTATATCTTAGTGTTAATGTATGGACATTTATAAGAAAATAGTTTAAAAGTCTGAAACAGGGATCCAGAAGCGGTCATTTGCACCGGACATGTCTGATTGGGAATCTCAAATGTCCGGTTTAAAATATTGCTTACCCGACATTTAAATCTTTCTGTACGGACATTTTAAAAAAAACCCAGGGTCCAAATAATTGATGAGCGTTATCGTATCCCTTCAGCGAATTCAGGTGAATAAACAGGTATTACAAACTTGGTCAATAAGAGTATGAAATTTGATATAAAACATCACTAGACATGATGATTTACCATTTAAAATGTATTTCCTGCGCTCCAAGGCATTGTTTTATATGCAGAGATTAAGATTACCGTGTGTATTTTCTCATAAACTAAGCCAGAAATAGCAATAAGCTATGCACACGTTTCCTCCTACAACTTCAAAGATTTTTTATGCAATGGTCGGAAGAAATTGTATCTGAAATTATTATTTTATGAGGAATAATATATTCCAATATCGTGTTATTTTAGTTGCAGCTTCCACCATATATACTTTAAATTATAAGATCCATAAGCGTAGCACTTTGGTACAGATGGTATGCAGGATATTTTTTGACGTATGGAACAATTTGACCAGTCACCGTAGGGATTTCACGCGCTACATGCATTTCGATTGCAAAATGTTTTGTTGACATTTGATAGTCAAACTGTCTCAAATATGACTTTTAGCGAGTCATGGTACGGCATTTATGATGTGTGTATCCATTTTCTTGCAACTAAAGTTTGTTTCAAGGCGTCAATAGCGGTAATCTGACCAGTCAGGATAAACCATGAACCATTTTTTTATTACTAGATATTATAATAATAGAATTAAATTGCGTACTTCAGTTCGGATTTGTTGACTGGTACTTCCCTTGTTACGTGATCGCAGTGATCAGCTGATAATGTTTTCTGAGATAGGGGGAAAACATCATGTCATTGGAAAACTTGAGTTTATTAAAAATGTTTGTAAATTTTGGGAGCCATGCTTTACCGCGCACTATAACCAAGTTAGCGCTATATTGCAATAATGAGGGCACATTGAATGTAACAACTTGTAATGTGTGTGAAAAGTCGTTCTAAAATATGCTATTTGAAGGGGGCATGGCCTAAATGATAATGTCTGATTGGGATATAAAATTTTCCGGACCCATGGTCCGAAAGAATGTTTTACTAGACCCTGGCTTCGGACAAGTGGCTAAAATCACAGACCGCTGTTTGATAAATAAAGTGTGCTTTTCTTAAATGTAATATATATTCCATAATTCTCTGACACATTATTCCTGTGTGTTTCACCCAGAATTCCTTGAGATAATTGGCAGGTTACTGAGTAATTGCAAAGCTTCACCACTTCCTGTTCTTGATTATTCAGGAAGTTAAAAAGAAGAAGAAGGACAAGCTGAAAAAGAAGACAAAGTTTGAGCCATCTCCCAGCCCCACCAAGAAATCCAAGAAGGAGAAGGCCCCCGAACCAGAGGTGTGGAAATGGTGAGTGACCAGAACATCTTATCTGTTAACTGGGCATGCAACAGTGGTTATAAACATTTGCAGAGGTAACCACATTTGTTGTAATAAGCACCTTGTGTGTTTACAAGATTGACAAAGGACGTCACTTATTGAAACCATACACAAGTCAAATTTGGCCAGAGGACTCTTTGTGGTCCAAGTGATGGATTTTGGTCAAGTATTCCCGTATATGGTTGTATGTGATACATGGTTCCTGTGTATTAGTGACACTGATGTATGTGCAGGTGGGAAGAGGAACGGAAAGATGATGGCACCAAGTGGAAGTTCCTCGAACACAGGGGCCCTGTGTTTGCTCCTGCGTATGAACCTTTGCCCAAGTCAGTCAAGTTCTACTACGATGGTGAGGACACGGTTACTACTTGTTGAAAGTTAATCAAACTATACAATCTATGTTGCAGCAATAGAAATTAGTTAGCCTGCGTCAATTGTAAGTTTAAATGTTTACTGAGTGCTAGTAGAATTTCAGGCTTTTTATGAAGTCTTAATTAATATCACTATTACAGCTGGTAACTGTTTCAGGTTCATTCCTATCACTGTTATTACAGATTACAAATACCATTAAATACACTCTAAGAAATCACTTTGAATGTTTCTTAGGATTGTGGGGGGCACGGGTGGCCCAGTCGTCTGAGGCGCCGCGATTCGCTGTGCAGAGTTGTGCCCTTGGGCACGCCAGTAACCTATAGTTGGTTCGAATCCCGGTTCGCCCCGATTATGTTTCTAGGTTTGTCAGCACCATACCCGTGCTCGTGGGTTTCACCGAAGTGGTAAACGTCTGAGACCTGCATCACTTCGGACTTTCCTCCCACATTAAGCTGACACGCCGCGAATACTGTTAAAAGCGGCGTTAAACCCAACTCACTCACTCACACTCACTCTAAGGATTGTGTTGCAGTTCTGGGGCGGTGGGGTAGCCTAGTGGTTAAAGCGTTCGCTCATCTCATTGAAGACCTGATTTCGATTCCCCACATGGGCACAATGTGTGAAGCCCATTTCTAGTGTCCCCAGCCTTGATATTGCTGAAATATTGCTAAAAGTGGTGTAAAATCATAGTACTCATTCACTATTGCTGTTCAGGAATATTCACTCACCCATTGACTTGAATAATATTGGAATGGTAAAACAGTTGCGTGGGTTGCAGTCGCAGTCGCAGTTCTTATAGACGTTTTGCTGTTTACATAATTGGGACTAACATAAATGATCTATGGCTGGTATGTTCCTAGGAAAGGAGATGTCATTGTCCAATGATGCAGAGGAAGTTGCTACATTCTATGCCAAGATGTTGGAGCATGACTACACCACTCGTGATGTGTTCAACACCAATTTCATGAAGGACTGGAGGAAGGTGAATATACTTGTCTCACATTGGTCGTATCTCCGTGTCTGTATGTTCACCACAATGTTAAATGTATATGATTTATATACCCATGGGTCTGCTGCAATATGCTAGAGTAGCATTTCTAGATGTTAATCAGAGCTCTGTGAATATCTTTGCTTGAAGAAGAGCGTCTCTACAGACACCCGTGCTGTCTCCGGCGCCTCTGACTGTAGCGCCTCTCTGAGGCAGGCCTCGTAGGACGCCTATACAGACACCTTCTCTTCTACTGCCTACCTCCCGTTACTCCTTTGACTCGGCCTCGCCCAGTACGTCCTCTCGTCTGAGTGACAGTCGCTCGTCTCGCTGACTCCAGAATTCCCCGTTCTAGGAGCCGCTCTCCTGTCCATAGATGCTCTAACAATAACTCCTTGGAGGGTGACCTGGTCGCATGCTATGATGACACTCCCACTGACGGCAGGTCCCACCTTGGACTAAACCAGGTAGAAGACTTGGGGACATACTTGTGTCAGTCGCTCCTTCCCCTGGCCTAGAGGTCGATGGAAAGACTGTCATTAGATCAGACCCTACCTCGCTCCCATCAGATCCTTTGATCAAGGACATGGTCTCGACCCTGGACTCTGTCCTTTAGAGCCCCACACTACAGGCGGAGTGACTATCCAGTCCACTCTCTCCAAGTCGCGGGACCTGTCTTCTCCAGGACCTTTCGGAGCATAATCCGCACCAGATCATCCTTCGCCCGCAACAAGGCTGCTCTCAAGGCCCTGGCTAGGGTATCACAGTCAGCCTCTTTTAAGTCATCCCAGTCTGGCTCCTACGAGCTGCGACGCAACACTCTCCAGCCCCGGGGACAGGGCTCCACATCAACCGTTCAGGGTAGAGGCAGAGGCAAAGGCAAGTCCTCGGGCTCGTACCAGTCCCGCAGTTGTCACTCCATGAGTCCATTACCAATGGGTGGTCCTCCCATTTGGAATTTCTTTGGCCCAGTGGCTATTCCAGCGGCTTACCAAGCCGATAGCCTCGTACCTCCATTTCCTGGACATTCAGTTCGAGGCCTACACTGACGACTGCCCCCTGAATCATTTGGACACGGTCACTCTACTTTGCCACAAGGACTTAAACCGCCCGCTCCTATACCAGTTGGGTTGGAAGATCAACCTCAAGAAGTCAGAGTTGATGCCCTCATTACATCTTCAGTTCACCGGGGGTCTTTTTCAGACCTCCTCTCTGTATCCAGGGCCCTTGAGCGCATGTCATCATGATGGCTCATCGCCCGACCACAGGAGACAAGGCGACAAGTGTCTATCCTTTGAGAGCTTTTGCAGGGGAAAACAGCAAGATCCCCGCTACTGCATCGCCTCAATTCCAGGCCGAGTTCCTGCTCTTTCTCCACCACAAGCAAAGACTCAAAGGTAGTACCATAATGACCTACCTTGTGGAACTCAACTCCATCCTGGTAGATCGGTGCAAGTCCCATAACTACAGGTTCTGCTCCGCTCATTCAGGTTGGAAGACCAGAATGGCAATTTCGTCCACCAGCTTGGGACCTGAACATCATTCTCACCTTGCTGGGAGACATGTCGTTCTACCATCTGACGAAAAAACCTGATTTCCACTTGGAGTTCTCTTCAGCAGCCTGTGTCAGTGAGCTACACGCCCTGGCCCAACAGGTCACCACTACTAGACACCATTGACCTTGCCTCCAGACCTCCCCTGGCTTTAAGTGCCCTGGAGTAGAAGATTCATACCCCCTTGCATACGGCTCGGTACGTCAATCTACAACTTTAACTTGACTAAGGTTATCGTTTACGGCTGCGTAGTACCAGGACACCCCACATACCTGACTCTTGGTTCCCATCTACAGATTGGTCATTTGCTGCCAACCACACAGCCGAAGATTGGCTGAGGGAACTGTTCTGAAATGAAAGTCCACATCTGAAGGTATGCCCTCCACTGATTCCGTCTGATAAAGATGCATTAAGGAGTAATGCAGGATAAATAAAAAATCTAGTAAAATCCTAGATATTATTTATATTTGTATACTTATCCTGCATTACTGCATCTAAAGAGACACGCCTGTCGCAGAGCTGCCTCCCCACAATGCCTTCCAGAGTTCCCCACGATGTTCCGGACTCTAGAGTAATATGAGGATCCATGACTTCACTTTCCTTCACTCCCACGTGGGAGCTGTGTGATAGGGTTGGCCTCTCATCTAGTTGGAACAACTTCTTCAAGCAAAGATCTTCACATATCTCTTTTTTGTCAAGAACAAGCTGTAATATGCATTAAGGAGTAATGCAGGATAAGAATACAAATATTAAAAATATCTAAGATTTTACTAGGTTTGATATGAATGAGCATGCCAATAATTTTATTGTAGTGTATGACTTCTGAAGAAAAGGAGAAGCTCAAGGATCTGAAGAAATGTAACTTTAGTGAAATGGCCGACTATTTCAAGGTGAAGACTGAGGAACGAAAGGCCATGACCAAGGAAGAGAAACTGGTAAGTCATCATAGCCTGTAGCGACAGCAGATATAACCAGTACTCAGACAGAGCAAACTGTTTAAGAACCACCCTATCCTCCTGCAGTATGATAATGTATATTGAGCAGGAAAGTCAAGGGTCCTTGTCACCACTCGGTTAAAAGTGAGAGGATTAAGGAAGTTCCTGGATAGAATGCTATGGGAGCATACAGCCTGTTGGTTTTGAGCCCTGGGGTTTGGTCGTCGTCACTTGAGTTAATCAATCATACGACCTGGACTTGTGTATCATTTAGAGCTGCTTTGTGCAATGCATTGTCTAAAATGTTACTGCCATTTTGAGTTAACATGATGAACACAATTTCGAAGAATGGTAAAAATGTATCAGCGTAATTAGTTGTATTAAAAAAAAGGTATGATCCATATCATTATCTTTACACAGATTGTAGTAACTGTAAATTCTGGATATTTCAAACTGATTTCCAGTCCTTTGAAGTTTTTTTTCTTTTTTTGTTTGCCTTGAGATTGGTATTTGTTGCTACAGAAACATTGATAGCCAGCACGTAATTACTTTGGGTCAACAATAATATCTATGTCAAGTTATGATGAAGATGAGTTACCTTCCAAGTTGGGAAGACTATAACTTATTTAAGATTTTCTGTGTTGTGACTACAGGTAATAAGGAAGAACAATGAAGCGCTAGTGAAGGAGTATGGCTTTTGCAAGATTGATGGTCACACAGAGAAGATCGGTAACTTCAAGATAGAACCCCCAGGTCTGTTCCGAGGTCGAGGTGACCATCCGAAGCAGGGCATGTTGAAGAGAAGGGTACAGCCTGAGGATGTCATTATCAACTGTAGCAAGTAAGAGAGAGAGAGAGAGAGAGAGAGAATATAGTTATCAAGACATTTAAAATACCACATAATTCAACATGAGTTTAAAAGTTTGGATGTGGCTATGGGATTTTGGTAATCCTTTGGTCATTGAAGTATTGGAAGTAGTGACAACAAAATACTAGAAATTGTATATGATGATATGAGAGGTTGCAGAATTATGTCGACTTGAATCCAAAGTCAGGAGAAGTTAAAGTAACAATGATGAAGTATAGAAACAGGAATCATGTGTGAATAAAAACTCTTTATGTTACTGAAATTGTTACATTTCACAGACAATTTCACAAAGTTGTTTACTTCTTCAGAGAGTCTGTTATCCCCAAGGCACCTGAAGGCCACAAGTGGAGAGAAGTTCGCCATGATAACATGGTATGTCTTGTCCTTACAAGTGTTTTAAGGAAAATTAAATCTTCTAAGTAACTTTTCCACATCAGTAACTTTTTATGATATTGTTTCACAACATGGTCAAGAGGATTATCTTCCAGAAAGTGTTAGCATGTTGAACAGACAGTTACTATTGCATTATTCTTAGAAGTTAATAAAAGAATTAATGTAGTGTGTTCGACAACTCTCAACAAGTTTTAGAGGTTTTGTTTCTGCAAAGTTGGTTGAATTTATATTATTGTACATGGATATTTAATTCCATGAGGTGTGTCAGTTGAATGTTTTGTTGTATGTGTCAGGTAACATGGCTCTCCAGCTGGAATGAAAACATCCAGGGTCAGACCAAGTACATCATGTTGAATGCTGCTTCCAAACTCAAGGTAAACCTAAGTGTAAAACCTTTGTACAGTGCAAAGGAATATGATTTTCGTATTTGTAATATTGATGGGGCCATGGGTGGCTCATTTGTTTACAGCACTGCATTTTCCTGCAGTCTTGTACCTTAGGCATTCCAGAAACAATTGGTTCGAATTTTAGTTTTACCCTGATGTTTCTATGTTGTTAAGTAGTTAACTGTCTCCGACATACCATGAAATGACTGAAATACTTTAAAGCTTTATTATACCAGAAATTACATTGAGCATCAGTAACCTGGTGAAGAGATGCATCATTAGATGACTTTTGATAGTTAATTACCATATGTAATGTGATTGGTTAGATTCTGAGTTATTTAGTAGTATGAATTGCAGCTTAAGAGTGTGGAGTTATCTCCCTTGTATGCATTGAGTTACCTCCCTTCCTGGCACAGCATGTACTTCAGAAATGTATTGTGCAGTCAACTTTTGCCAATTTACAATTTACTATGTTGTTGTGCGTTATTCAACAGTGTACAAGTATAATGTTAGGTAAAATTAACCACAATGCACAACACTGGTAATATGTATGGATATCCAAATGTAGACATAAAACCTAAAACAGATATATATGTTTCTTCCAGGGAGAGAAGGACTGGCAGAAGTACGAAGTTGCCCGTCGTCTGCACAAGTGTGTTGATAAGATCCGAGCTCAGTATCGGGAAGACTGGAAATCCAAGGAGATGAGAATACGGCAGCGGGCTGTTGCCCTCTACTTCATCGACAAGGTGATTCACACATTCTCTCATTATTAAAACGCAAGCAAGTAAATAATTAGGTGTTACATTTTCCAGGATACGTAATAAACTGGTGTGAACTAAGAAAATGTGTTTAATAGCTTTCTCACATAGGGTTAATAGGAAAGGCCACCTTGTCATTTGTGTTTCTCATTAGGGTCAATAGTGGGCAGTGGGGTAGCCTAGTGGTTAAAGCTTTTGCTCTTCACACTAAAGACCCGGGTTTGATGTCCCACTTGGGCACTATGTGTGAAGCCCATTTCTAGTGTCCCCTGCCATGATATTGCAGGAATATTGCTAAAAGCGGCATAAAACCATATTCACTCACTACTCATTAGGATCAATGGAGAACAGGGCCAAAAGAATTCATTGCAATCATTTTTACATCTTTACACTTGTACCTATTATCAGAGATTTATCTGGGATTGTTAGGTTCAAAATTGAAATATTAATGAAAGACCCTTCCACTTATTGACCAACAAAAGTAACTCTTAGTCATAATCATACTAGGCCTCTGAGAGCCCCCTGGTAAGTCTCTGCTTGTATGAAGATATAATCCAACTACTAATGCCATCATGTATGTGTCCAGCTTGCTCTGAGAGCTGGTAACGAGAAGGAAGAAGGTGAGACAGCCGATACGGTAGGCTGCTGCTCACTGCGAGTGGAACATATGACGCTGCATGAGGAGAAGGACAACAAGGAGTGTGTGGTGGAATTTGACTTCCTCGGTAAGGACTCCATCCGCTACAACAACAGCATGCCAGTGGAGAAGAGAGTCTTTAAGAACCTGCAGCTCTTCATGGACAACAAACAACCTGAAGATGACCTCTTTGACAGACTTAATGTGAGTACACCCATGAAAACACAGGGCAAAAGTCATATCATTTATAAATCTCTGTCTCTGGGGATTCCAGGATTGAGTAGACCCTCAATACCCTATGCTTGTTGTTTCTCATTTTATCAACCATTTGTTTGCCTGGCCCAACTCTGCCTTGCGCTCTTATAGAATGGTGGACTAATTCTGGGAAAACCCAAACTTGATCACTATGTGATGTACAAATCTGTAGCAGAGTAGGTTGTTCCTTTGTTCCTGAGTGTAACTACAATTCTCTTCTGTGGTAACAGTGACATATTGTTAGATGTAGTGTACAGTCCTGTATTGAAGGTTTTAGAAATTACTGACACAATACAACAAGAATATTTTACAAGTATGCTTAGTCTTTTCTGGCAACTTAGGTAATAACTAATCCATGTTCTCCATCCTGTACAGACGGCCATCTTGAACAAGCACTTGCATGACCTGATGGAAGGCCTGACTGCCAAGGTGTTCAGGACATACAACGCTTCCCGCACCCTGCAGGAACAGTTGGACATTCTCACTAACCGTAAGACTACTCACATGTTGTATGGCAACTCCACATCTAACATATATTTCAAGATCTGTGATAAATAAGTACCTGTTCTTAAAGAACTTAACTGCTTTGTGTGCAAGACAAGAGATTGACTTGTTTATTATTAACTAAATCATATATGGGTTTATTCTTCTACAGCTGATGACCCTATTCCGGCCAAGATCCTGTCCTACAACCGAGCCAACCGAGCTGTGGCTATCTTGTGTAACCATCAGCGGTCTGCTCCAAAAACATTTGCCCAGTCCATGGACAACCTCATGAAAAAGGTACAAGGGCATAATTTATCCTGCCGATTACATTTCATTATCCAGAATGTGATTCACTGGTCTTGGAACTTCAAGCTTTCATGCATATATAGTCTGTTCACTCGTCATGAGTTTGACAATTCTTAGGACCCATTGCTGTTATTACTGGCGCGACTCATGGATCTACTAGACAATGTTTAATCCGTATTTCAGAATATGATATATCTGAAGATAGAATTGAACTAAACCTTTTTGAAGGTCTTGTAACTGATGATCTGTCTGTTGCAGATTGATGAGAAGAAGCTGCAGGTAAAGGATGCCAAGAAGTCAGTGAAGGATGCCAAGTCTGACTACAAGGCCCACAACACAGAGAAGGCTAGACAGTAAGTACAACACACTTCACGCAGATTCAAAACTCACATCTAAGTAATATTATGCTGCATATAGGCTGAAAAAACAAAAACCGGTGGTTGTCAGGGCAAAGTGATTTGGAATGGTGTCTTTGTGTTAGTATTCATGTCAGAATGTATTTTGTTCAACTTCAAAAAGACTTTCACTTTCCGAAGTTTTTATTATGCCCCGCCCAACGAAGTTGGCGGGGGATATAGAAATGGGCTCCATCCGTCACGTTTCTTTTCCGGAGCATAACTCATAAACCGTTCAATATTTTTTCATCAAACTTTGCAGGTCTGTCAGGTACATGCTGAACTGGTGCCTTTTGCTCTTTAGAAATTTTTTATTTTTTTATTTTTTACGTTTCCATGGCAGCAAGATGGACTGAGGTTCCAAACTCATCTTTTTTCACAATTTCCATGACAAGTTCCACCTCGGTTAAAAAAGGTTAGGGTTTGTTTAGATTTAATTATGTCATAAATTCTGCAACAGGGGCGGGGGATATAGCCACGTTAGTGGCAAACTCTTGTTTCGATTGATATGGCATGGAAAACTGGCATAATACTATGGACAAGTCATGTCTGGTTGGTGTATTGAACCTGTGATCTGTTTTGGTCTTTGCTGAATTCTAATCAGTGCCATCAGTCACAAAGAGTGTTAAGTTGTGTCTGGAGTAACATTCCTCCATATCTAGCGACACCATGTGCGTGACTGACAGTGTGTGTGTTGTTACAGGACTGTGGAGAAGAAGAAGAAGTCAGTACAGCGGCTGGAGGAACAGCTCACTAAGCTGGAGGTGCAGGCCACAGACAAGGTCAGTTGTCATCAGTAGAATATGTGTGTTAAATGGTCTCATTTTAGAATGGTGGACATGGGTGGATCAGTTGTGTATGTCATGCAGTTTGCTGTGCTTCCCTTAGGCATGCCAGAAATATATGATCATGGGTTTTAATCCTAGATTTGCCCTAATGTGACTCACTTATATTAGAATGTTGTTCATAACAGTAGATTATGTTTCTAGGTTTGTCAGCACCATACCCGTGCTCGTGGGTTTCACCGAAGTGGTAAACGTCAGAGACCTGCATCACTTGGGGCTTTCCTCCCACATTAAGCTGACTGGAATACTGTTAAAAGCGGCGTTAAACCCAACTCACTCACTCATAACAGTAGATGTTTCATGCACATGTGTTTCCTTGTTCATTCCCAGTATTTCTGTTGTTTACTGCAGAAGTCATGAGTATTTATTGCCATCTTTCAACTGGATATTTCAATCAAGATACACTATTGATCATCAGTTTAATAGTTGTAACTGCTTTGTAAGGTCATACTCATACTTAGGCTAAAAATAATTGTCTTAGTTCTCAGGCACAATTTGCACACGCAATAACTTCATAAACCATCGCCTGAGAACCAATTCTATTATTTTTTTAAGCCTTACCCTCCTGAGAACATATACTGATACAAAAAAATGTTGTGTTTCTCAAGTAACTAGACTACAACACGTCATAAGCATCGTTCCAGAAATAAAGGCAATATTGTATCTGTGACAGACATTTTGTTCTATTTGCAGGAGGAAAATAAAGAAATTGCTCTTGGTACGTCCAAGCTGAACTATCTGGATCCCCGAATCTCAGTGGCTTGGTAAGTCTGCTAATATGGTGATGGTGATCACTTTGGTCTTTTTCTGTTTACTTCTGGATCAGTAATCATCAGCTTGACACTTGTTCTTTATCGTCTTTAGTCATGTCAGAGATACACACTCATGGACAGCAACCACTTGGCGGATGCTTAGGCTCAGTTGTGTAATACTCATGTCAATTATGTCTTCTTAAGGGTAAGCATGGTAAGATGACTCCACAAAGCTAGTTTGGCAAGTCTGGCCCGGTTGTCGGATGCCTGTGCTTGTGGGTTTCAAGTACGTGGTAAATGTTTAAGACATACATAACTTTGGGCTTTCCTCCCAAATGCTAAACACTGTCTAATGCAGTTATCTCCCTTTTCTCCCCCAGGTGTAAGAAGTGGAATGTTCCTGTTGAGAAGATCTACAACAAGACCCAGAGGGACAAGTTCCGCTGGGCCTTGGACATGGCAGAGGCTGACTTCTGTTTTTGATATGGATGTGTCTTAGGCATCAGTGATCAAATGTTATTTTACTACAGAGCATTTTGTTGCCAGTCGCCACTGGCTTGGCAATGTACAGATTTTAACAAGGGTATTTAATATGGTTAATTGTGGAGAGAAAATGAATGCAAGGTTTTATAGTGTGTGTTAAGATATGTGGATTTGTCGTGGGATTTAATGGACATTATTGGTGCCAGTGTGAGAAGTTTTATGACATACTAGACGAACCTTGAATTGTTCTTGCTATATTTTGTGGGATGACCTCCATATGTGCTGGTTGTAGATAGGTGTTCAGCCATTAAGTACATCTCTGAATATGCAGCTAGATATGCATCTTGGTACACAATCATGAAGTGCATCTCATTTTGGGGGTATTTCTGGAATGAATTCTGAATTTGCTTGTCTAATTAAGTTGATTATTAAATGAAATATTTATTTTATAAGTAAATGAAAGGATGGCTTCAAAATAGCCATTGGACATTATTCAGTTATGTTGACTTCACTGCAATAGTAAACTAATACCGGTACCTTTTATGTGAAAGATAAGCATTTTGTTCTTAGTGCATGAAATTGTTTGCTGTTAAGCGATAATCTTTGAGGTAGGCTCTTCTGTTCTGATATTGGTCCTGATTATCTGGTGTAAGGCACATGGCCCAACTTTAGGCATTCAACCCGATGGTATGTAAGATTTGATTTTGATTGTAACTTGCCTTGACTGGAGAAGAAAGTGCTATTACATGTTGTTCAAGTTATTCTTTATGTTTAATTTAATATGACCATAAGCACAACATATACTACAGTGTATGTTAATATGTTGAGTGTCATTGAATGTGTCCTCATTGTCAGAAGATTCTTTGATGTGCAAGTTTATTATTCATTTGTATGAAAAAGTTTGATTGTACAGTGTATTTGTTGATAGGAAAATTTGTACAGTTGGCAGTTACTTGTCATTGGTAGGTGTAGAAGGCAGAACTTTCATTGTTATTTGGCTAGAATAATGTTCCTTGCGACACCCTTCAATTAACACCAGTTGTCTTCTTTATTATGACAAAGTTTGATTTCGTTTGGATTCTGTTGTTTTGCCATGTACTCTGTAACCATATGCACTTGCATCCCCCAAACCTTCACTCCACCCTCGCCCCAGTATTTGCCATGTAGCTCAGTGTTAGTATCAGATACAACACATCACTCACTCCATAAACCCTCAAAGCAATGTCTGGGTTTTCTCCTGCTTCAGTGTCCAGCATTGCATACATTTATCATTGTATAGAGAATTTGAACTGTTTTGTGTTCAGTGAAACCCCCAAATATTATGAATTGGTTCAATTATCACCTTTGAAAAAAATCACCTTTTGTTGGACAGTATTTTGTGAAATTATTGGGGTTGTCACGTTTGTTGAGATGGGTTGAGCAGTCACATCTGAGATGGACATGTTACTCAGGATACACTATGGTGTGGTACTTATGCCCTTTCTTGAATGAAATGTTCAATGTTACTTTTTTCTTAAAATATGGTATAATTTTCCTTTCTTAAATTATATCATACAAATGTCCAAGGAGGGACAATATTACGGTGACATGACTACAGAATGGCCTGGCGCTTGTCGTATCCTCTGGTGATATGTTCTTCCTGGTGTGATGCAGTGAGTCCTTTCCAGAAGTATAGGACAATATCATACTTCTTTTGGAGTGATACGGTACACATGTGACCAGAAAGTCAAGGTACCACTAAATCCTGTCCTGAATATCTGAATAATTCTCTGAATGCTGAACACAGGGAGCAGTGGTAGGTCGATGGGAAGCTATGATATTGTTACCATTGAGAAATCAAAGCATATAACACTACTTTCAGGATATAACAGTGTCTCCATAAACACATCAGGTTTGAGCTGTATTAAAAAATTGCTTAATTGGATATGTAAATACTACCCATATCTTTCAATGAAAAAAAGCAGCAAAAAGAATAATTTCATAGAGCTTGATTTTGTTGTGTTGAGGTGGATGAGATGTACATTTGAATAGATTTATTTGAATACTAACAAGTGCATGTACAGACAGCTAACAAGCAATAAGTAGAAAACTTCAACTGAAATGTCTCAACTTTTTTTATTCGCTTTATATTCAAATGTCAATTTAGAGATCTTGCCACAATGTCCAGTATTGATCCCGAATCATTCCATATACTTTTTATTATGCATAAGCCTGAAAATATTTCATTTTGTCCATCAGTATGTGAAATATGTATCTTGTGATAATACATGACAGTTGACTTGGTACTGCAGAAACAGCCTGTACCGCCTTGCACACGTGATTGGATGTATGGTAAATAGACTTAATCAAAACTTGCTAGAAAGTTGATTTGTACACAATCAGTATTAATGTTGGCACACTCACTGTCTTGTGTTGTAGTCCGCATGCCAAACTTTCAGCTGTTGTGACATGAAAATCTCTTAGATCAGGACCTAGGAGCTGCCATTTATGTTACACAATGATGTTTTTTACCTATGATATTTTATCCTTGTTTGGTTATGAACGTTTTACCACCTTCAGTTTATTTCCTGTGCTTCTTTAGATTTTATTATGCAGAATGTTTAGTTAATTCATGTTAATGTAAATATTGCATATCATGAAATTGCTTTGATTTTAAACATGTAAAACAAATTGTTTGACTTGAATTATTTTGAAATATAACTGCCATGTCTTGATGAAAACTTACAAAATTTGCATCAGTCTAAAGAGTAATATTACTATCATCCCAAAATGAAATTCATGTCATTTTTGAGGAAAAATACATGGGGGATATTTGAAAAATGCAGTCGGTTGCAATACTAAATAGATTCCCCTTGTTGGTTATACGCAACTGTCAGCTACCTCGGATTAGGTCTGTGTGGTATGGGAAGAGCATGAACAGTGTCGTCATGCTAAGTGTGAGCTGTATTACAGGTATTTATTCATGTAAGTTAAGGACCACCTGTCTTGTGATATTGAAGCTAAAGTGATAGTCCAACTCGTATAGTTCACTGCTTGATGTATAAACATGGATAGATCTGCTATGCTACATGCAATATGTTGGCTTTCAGTGCTTTGTGTTATTTGAACATTTGTGAAATATGCACATATTTTGAAATAAATCAAAGAAGTAAGGTAATGTTTCTGAGCCGTGCTGTAATGAATATTTTCATGTGACCTACCTAAGTCAGGGATGAGTATGACCCAAGTATGGTGATTACAAGACCGAATCTCAGTGTTAGATATATAGAGTCCAATCTCAGAGGCAGTAAACAGGAAGTATTAGTGCATGACACAGAGTATTTTCAGAGACTGTTTTTTATGGACGTAACTTGATTAGGAATCAGCACTGTGTGGACTTGTATTCTTCTGCCTTAACGGAGAGCTTGGACTCCTTTGGACTTATACGTTTGTCCATTCCTTGACAATGCTAGGTGAAGTGGTTTGTACACAGGAATTCTATGAACTATTCCTGGAAATGTGTTACGACACTCAAATAGTATTGAATATTCCCATATATCAGATGTACATATCTTGTTATCAGCCATTGCCATTTTTCCTTTGTGTAGCATTGATAGAAGTGACACAGGTATTGAGCTCTGATTGATCGTTTCGAAACACTCAGTGTCATAATTGGTCATTGTTAACTTTCTGTTGGCACCTTGCCCAATGAAAATTCAGCTCAAGAGCTCCCAACTATTGGTGGCTGGTGTTTTATATGTTTAATATTGTTATCATTTTGATCCAACAATCAGCTCAATCATCAAGTGTTGTGTCCATTATTTGTTTGCATTTTAAACACATTTTTGTTTGATGACCAACTATCAGAGTGCATCTCTGTGTGTGGCCACTCACAATGTATATGAATGATACTGAATAAAGATCATAGCCCAAGTTACCATGTTGTACATTGTAAATGGTAATGGATGGAGTGGGGCCATCTGTCTAAGGCACCGCAATTCGCTGTGCAGAGATGTGTCCCTTGGGAATGCCAGAAACCTATGATTGTAGGTTCAAATCCTGGTTTGCCTCAATTGTTTCTTGGTTTTCCAGCACCATACTCGTACTTGTGGGTTTCACTGAAGTGGTTAACATCTGGGACCTGCATCACTTGGGGCTTTCCTCCCACATGAGGCTGACGATGTGATATACCAACTCACTAATAGATGCAGCAAGTGTGTGCACTGTTACTGAATTCTTTCAGTGTCTTGGCTGCTTTTAGAAAACTTGATCACATTTGGGGATCCCAGAAAGTGGATAAAGCACTCATTTTGTGATTTTAACACAAGTGTTGGGAGTGACAGAAGAATACATGAAGCTCCCTGACTGCATATGGAGCAAAAGAAATGATTTTAATAACTTCATAACACAAACACATGGGTCTGCATAGCAACTCTGTGGATGTTGGTGTGATTGTCGATTCATGTCTGTACTATAGTATGTATGAACAGGCAAGTCGATGATGTTGGTGTGAGTGTCGGCCCAAGTCATCGTGATACAAGGATCTCCACAGGCAACTCAGCAACTACGTGGAAGAACATGGTGTCTTCCATCTTCCCAAGGCAAGGGAGTTAACGGACTGTAAAAGTCCAGTTACCACCCTTGCCGAACTAGGCCGGAATTTCTGGGTTTGATCTGAGCGCCACCAGTGGCTATCATGAGTTATGTCCCTTCAATGTCCCTTCAATGTCCCTTCAATGTCCCTCTGATTGACCAATCAGATTCCACCTCCAATATCACATGCATTTGCTTCAATCAAAATGGCGGCGCCCAGTGAAGACAATCTGATCAATTAAATAATCAGGATCTATATTGTAATAAAACGGGTCTTACTTCGCGAAGTGCATCAAATCACACGAGCACCTTGATTAAAAGCATGAAAAGACTATCTGTTTAAGCTAAGTTGACGGAACACATGCTTTGCAAATCCTGCAATCGACCGAATCTGAATGGCAGTTTAGAACCGGATGTTGATTTTGTTAGCAATTTTGATTGGACAATGCATAGACTCGTTAGTCCAGCCAAAATATAGCTCCATAATTCCAGCCTAGTTCGTCAAGGGTGGAAACTGGACTTTTATAGTCAGTTAGCTCCCTTGCATCGGGAAGATGGGAGTCTTCAACTGTACTAACCATTCTGCTTATTTGCATTGAAGAAAAACAGAAACATATGAAGATATATGAAACCAGAGTTTATTTACAATTCTCCATTGAGAACAGAATATTGCACACATTACACAACATGACAAAAACAGTCCTCAACACTGTACACACTGTTCAGACAGCATGGGGTCATATCATCCTCTGACAGTACACAGCTAAATAGTCTGTTTCTGTCAAGGGATATCCGAGTGACCAGAGTTTCATTACAAATAAATATCTAAAAATGTACAACAAAGTTTAGCAAATTGTATAAGCTGCACACATTTGACATTCGGCCTAATACAAATAATGTGGTTCCGATTATACTCATTTTCAAAACAGTATGTACTGTATGAAATATCTATAAAAAAAACTAAAACCCTGCTCTGTGTTGGAGGGAAAGTATTTCACATGTTAGCAGTGTTTGTGTATGTTTTCATGTGGGTTCTTGGTTTTGTCATTAATAGTGGGGGGCACGGGTGGTCCAGTCGTCTAAAGCGCCGCGATTCGCTGTGCAGAGTTGCGTCCCTTGGGCACGTCAGAAAACTATGATTGTGGGTTCGAATCCCGGTTTGCCCTGATTATGTTTCTAGGTTTGTCAGCACCATACCCGTGGGTTTCACCGAAGTGGTAAATGTCCGAGACCTGCATCACTTCGGGCTTTCCTACCACATTAAGCTGACACGCCGTGATATAACTGGCATAATGTTAAAAGCGGCGTTAAACCCAACTCACTCACTCATAAATAGTACCACTGAGCATGCTGAGAAAAACAGGCACGGAAATGTGGGTTATTTGGTAAATCGGAACATCATCATCTTTTAAAATCCCACAGCTGTTGTGCAAGTAGCTACTGATACAACAGATTGAATCTACAGACAGCTCACTGAACCAGCCAGCAACCACATGCAGCCAGGAGACATCCCACACAGTTGGATCTGATGCATTGCCTGTCACATTAACTCCGCTTCACTTGACTCCCACGATCTGTAGGAATGTATACTTATGGCTTCTTGATGCTGATCCCTCACAGGGTAACGATTGTTGTGAGTCTATTCTTGTTGCATCATGGAAATCACAACATTTTCAAAATTCCTGCAGCAAAAAAAACCAAAACATTTAAGAATTCATTCAGTCTTGTAATTGTTCTTACATTAAAGATTCAGACTTATTCTTGATAAGGCAACCACTTTCTTAGAATATACGTTAAAGACAATGCCAATAAAAGCAGAGCTGTTATAGGTTCTCCCTTCAAGTTGCTGTGACACGGGTGGCCCAGTCGTCTAAGGCGCCGTGATTCGCTGCGCAGAGTTGCGTTCCTTGGACACACCAGAAACCTATGATTGTGGGTTCGAATCCCGGTTCACCTCGATTATGTTTCTAGGTTTGTCAGCACCATACCCGTGCTCGTGGGTTTCACTGAAGTGATAAACGAGACCTGCATCACTTCTGCCTTTCCTCCCACATTAAGCTGACACGCCGCGATATAACTGGAATACTGTTAAAAGCGGTGTTAAACAAACTCACTCACTCTATTAAACATTCTTTGCATTACAGTCCTGACTACTGACAAAATCAAAGTGAGCTCTACCTGGATGTGATATTTTCTCCAGGGTTGTAAAAGGGATTGCACAGCATGTCGACGTAGCCGTGGTGGAGCTTCCGGAACATCTGAAATACATGTCAGGGTTCATTATTCCTTGTATTTACTGTCAATGATACAGTTAAATTCACAATGACAGAGTTAGGGTACAGGGAAACGTTAAACAATAAACAAACAAACAAACAGCGAGTCTGACCACCTGATCCCATTAGTCACCTCTTAGTACATGCAAGGGTTGATGAAAATCAATTTTAACCCAGATCTTCCTGGGTAAAATCATCCTGTGTGTCAAACTTTACCCACTTGCTTGATTAGAGTGAGAGATAGTCAACACATGCTATTTAAATATTATGAAATGAAACCCTGTATATAAAAGAGTAGCTTTATTTATATATGAAGTATCAAATTTATGAACGGTCCACATTATAACTGGGCCATGGGCAGACCTTTATCAAGGCAAGAATGAAAACTGCATGTCAGTCATAAACCACAGTGTATCATGAATAGTGAGGTGAGGTGAGGTGAAATTGGGTTTAACGTCGCGTCCAAGATTATTGCACTTATATAGCGACGTGCATGCACGTGTATGTGTGTGTGGCTGCTTGTACTAGTCCGGACTGATGCCGATTTATAGTGCTAGCTCACTGAGATACCATGCCGCAGTTTAACATGAATACCCCACTCAGACACAGTATACTGACTCCGAGCCGACCAGTCCTTGTTTTAGCCCCTTAATGCCGAGCGCCAGACAGGGTAACAACAAGTACAATCTTTTAACGTCTTTTTGTATGACGCGGCCCGGGATCGAACCCTGGACCTTCCGCTCTACCACAAGACCACGGAGGCGGTCATCATGAATAGTGAGTGAGTATGGTTTAACACCCTTTTTTTATCAATATTCCAGCAGTGGGTCCCTGAATACAACACGGGGCTCAAATTAAGGAACTTGATGGGACTTGCACCAGGTTGCACCAGACTAAACCAGGTTGCACCTGCTTCAAAGATTGATGCTGTGTGGACAAGTAAGTGATAATCAGACACAAAAATTTGAATTTTTTGGACATGCACTTGGCGCATTTAGACATAAATATTGGGTTGCATTTTTCATTATTAGGCTGGGTGCACTGGTGCATGTTTTATATAGCTAAATCGAGCCCTGCCCCAAATGTTACAATGTATCAAGTTAGCTTGCTGTAATGTGGCAGTATTAAAAACACTTGATCTGATATGAAATGAGGAATGCATATATTTATTAATTTACTTGAGTGAAATGTTAATTTTAACTTTTCAGTTAAGTATTGCATATCATGAGTAGATATATAATATGTAAAATCTTTTTCAAGTGTTAAAAAATAGCCTAAGTTGTCGTTCAACAGTCAAATAATGAAGTTGTGTCATGAGGTTGTGTGACTTACCCCTCGAATATCATTGTCCCTCAGGGTGAGGTTGGATGACTCCACAACCACAACAAACTTCACTTTGGTGTTGGTGACATAGCCATAACTAGTAAAACGATCAAGGAGAATATTGGCAACAAAACAATCAATATGTCTGCACTGGTCATTACTGGTCAAGGTGGTGATGTGGCACTACGATCGCCTTGTGGTACGAGGCCCTGGCATCCTATTGCTGGGATCGGAACTGTATAACTGTATGCCCGTATGACTGTATGTCCTTAAGACTGCTGACTGTAGGTATGCCCCCAGTCAGACAAAAAGAAAATTTGTAAAAAACCTTTCAATCAGGGTACAGTTGGGTTGGTTTGTTTGTTGTTTAACGCCGCACTCAGCAATATTCAAGCTATATGAAGGCGGTCTGTAAATAATCGAGTCTAGACCAGACAATCCAGTGATTGATGTCATGTGCATCGATCCATGCAATTGGGATTGATGACATGCATCAACAAAGTCAGTGACCCTGACCAGCTGATCCTGTTAGTCGCCTCTTACGACAAGCATTGTCGCCTTTTACGGCAAACATGGGTTGCTGAAGTCATATTCTACCCCGGATCTTCACGGGTCAGGTAACATGGGATTCAACATGGCATTCATGTTTATTGCAATTATATAGCAACCAGCATGTACGTTTGTGTGTCTGTTTGTACTCGTCTGGATTCATGCCGGTTTTATAGCACCAGCCAACTTAGGTACCATGCCGCAGGTTAACATGGCTACCCCACAGAGACACAGAATACTGACTCCAAGTCAACCAGTCCTTGTTTTATCCCCTTTATGCCCAAGCTCATGGCAGGGTCATAAGGCCTGGCAATTAACGTCTTTGGGTATGACGCGGCCAGGGGATCATACCATCGACCTTTCTCTCTCCGGCAGAAGGCATATGGGTCATCTGAAATACATGTTAATAATTCCTGGTATTTACTGTCAATGGCACAGTTAAATTCATAATGACAGAGTTTAAATAATTTCCCTGTACTGTGATGGCACATTTAGAAATCACAGTTTTTCAAATAGAAGAGTCTGGTTACATTTTATCCCGTGAAGCCAGTGCAAAATGTACCTTGCCCAACCGGACAACACATGGAAAATGATGAACATTTGAAGAAGTTAAATGCACCACTGTCTAAATAAGTTTCTATAAAAAGTATTCCTCTAGTTGGCACACCTAAACATTTTTATCAGCGCCCTGTGGCACACTTGAAAAAACCCTTTCTATCCTGGCACTTCCAGAGACCATTCTTGTTAATAGTTTTTATTTGGCAAGCATAAAAGCTACAATTGAACCATATTGGCATTCTGTGTTGGTTCAAGTTTGGTTGAATCATGACAAATATGGGAGGTCTGGCACCGATGGCTCAGTCGTCTAAAGCACCACAATTTGCTATGCAGAGTATGTGACAAATGAGCTTTCCTCCAGCATTAATTTTGTTTGTTGCTTAACGCCGAACTCGGCAATATTTCAGCTACAGAAGGCATATGGGACTTCACACATATTTGTCCCTGGGCTGTTTGTTTGCACTGTACACAAGGATACACTTTATAATCTTCTGTGGGGTACAGCAGACCAAGATACAGCTCCCTCAGATCATTGGCATTTTTTCCAATAGAGCTAATCTTTTCTTCAACAACATCTAGTGATGTATGAACAGTATAATAAAACTTGAGTTCATTTTCTGTTGGCATCGTCTTGATGAACAAGGGATAATTCTGAAACAAATGAACATCTCATGAAGAAAAACAAGATGTAGACGCCTGCCTGTCTGGGACTGGTAATGCCTGTTGATAGCAGATTAGTGTTGTAATGTTCAACCGGAATAACATGGCCAAGGTGCTGACAGACCAATTGAGGAACAATTTAGATTCAGAACCACATGTGGATCCTGGCGGAGCCAAGAGGCAGAACTCTGCCATGTGATTTAGGGTACCTAAACTACTCAATCCGCTGTGGCCCCTAGGAAAGTATGGCAGTAATGCGAGCTAAATCAGGATCAGGCTAAAACAGCACTGCGTCAAAACAGCAGCAAAACTGCATGGGGAATATTGGTACTAGAGTGGGGTCAAGCTAAAACAACACTGCTTCAAAATGGCACCAAAATTGCCTGGTGAATTTTGATGCCAACTTGATTAAACAGCACCACATTTTGTTGGCAAAAATGGCACAATTTGTATTATTCGACATATATACAGAAATCATTACCATACATTTATTTATCACAAACAATATTTGCTGATATTTAACATTCAATCCAATCATACTATTCAACATAAATTCAACACAGACAACATTCTCTGATCCTGACATCATCTAAAAACCACTGGCTACACCTACTTATTACTGGTCATTAGCAAGCATGATGTTTGGCTTGCTTTTTTGCTTAATGTGTAAAAGAAAAAATTAATTAATTTAATCAACATTGAATATACACTTTCAGCACCAATTGTCTGCCAGCAGTCTCTTGTATAATTAAATAAACAAACTAATTAAAGTTGAATTATATTTTAATCACTAACTAACCACGAAACAATTGCGCAAAGACATATTGTTGGAAAACTTTTGTTGGGATAAGTGTGGTTTCAAGACACATATTTGGAAATACAAAATGATGTGTGAATCAGATACTATTACTTGTACTCATATTCTAAATATCTCTATCTCCATTGTCAATTTTAAAGAACAATCACTTGAATATAACTCTAGAATCTGACACATATACATAACGTTTCATTTTAATTGATTAAAAAAATTGTCACAATTGTACGAAGGTATGGTGCGGTTTTCGCAGGGTATTGCGGTGGCAATATTACTTGGTAGAGGTGCCGTTTTTGTTTGGTATCCATCTAAAAGTTGAACCCTAAACTGCTTTAGAGGGAAGAAGGGGATTAAGCATCACTAATGACTATTCCTGGAACAGGAGTGCAGCAGTGTCCCCTTGGTAAATCATAAACTAGCGCACCCCCTCTGTATCCGCCCATGCTCAGTATGATCGTTAGGCAATTGTTTACAATGAAATCCTGTCTACATGGTCATCGTTAAGACCACAAACCCTATCTCAGGCAACATGGCAGTCTATATTTATTTCCAATATCATCTTATAATTAGTAGTCAATGTTTGAAAAACACCTTCATAAGATACATCCTGAGAACCCCAGAAAATTCTTACAGCAACAAAAAAGTGGTGTTGGGCGAAATGTCCTACTTTTGAGTGGGGAATTGTGGAGAAATGTATGGTCCCCGTCAGCCTGAAATACATGCCTGACTGTAAAGCAGTGCCTTTATGCCAACTGTATTAATCACACTTTTAAAAACGATGTCAACCCATGGTGTATTAAATAAAAAATACATTTGTATTCACAAATATGAGCAGACATAAATGATTTTCATCAAACCTCCTTCGCAATCACTGCCACACACACCGCCATGATGTTTACGGAAGCAGAACTTCAGCCAATTGGAAAAGGCGTATTGTATATAACACGAAATATAAACCAATCAACACCAGCTTAACAAATCAGCACCGGAAGCACCTTTTCTCCCGCCGTCTTGAAATATCCGCCATATCAGTGAAGGCAACATCGTCGTGATGTCTTTGCGTGTGGATAAAGACGCCTTTTTCAGGCGAATGAAGAGGATTTATACCTCTTGGGCAGTAAGTTATTAATCAGACATAATGTTATGTTTTTTGTGTGGAAAATTATATCTCTTTAAGCCTAAAATGTTTCCAAAGCCAATGAAACACGTGATTTTTTTCCCTTCGTAAACAAAAAATATCAAAGTAGTGGTCCATATCAATGTCATGCTCTTTAGAATGTTTATAAGTGCGGACACAAATATTTGCCATTCTTAGCTAGTTTGAACTGGTATTGAATCTGAATGTTAGTGACAGATATTGGTCGAGATATGAAATTAATTGCACAAATATACATTAGTGTAAAGTAAAATGACGCCAAGCACGAATTTCGTCTATTTGCGCACTTCAGTTTAATGCTACATTCATGACATTGTCACAATTGAACCCGAAGCATGTTCTATTGTTTGGATACCGTATGATTATTATTGTTCAATTGAACCTCAAATAAACATAGATCTATTCATTTCACTTATAAATGCCTGTTCAAGGACTTGATAGATATCAGACACTGGTTTGCCTGGCCCAGACTCAATAACTCACAGGTAGTGGAATATTGCTGACAGCAGCATAAAACAAACACTACATTCATATGCCCAAACACTTCCTCCATATTATGAGTGGGATTAAATAAATGTCCTGACAGCAACTTCAGGTACCCATGGTAACAGAGTTGTAAAGTGCCACATGTGAATCTAACATATTAACTCTATTTAATTGTGGCATCACCATCTTCTACTTCCTGATACATGTATGGATCACACACTTTGCAAACAATATTGTTTCTTACCCTAAATGTTTGCTTTAATAACTGTTCACCAAACAATCACTGATTAGTACATGTAGTATTGAAAACATAAATAATTAAATAACTGTAAATCGTCAGTGGGCCAGGTATTTAGCCATCCTAAAAGATGGCAAACACACCAGAGATAAGAGCACATGCAAGTATCATGATGCGTATCAGAGCGTGAGAAAGGCATTGTGATCCGAATCAGACAGTTGGTGTTTTGACCACGTTGACCCAACCCTGTGAATCTAACATATTAACTCTGTTTATCTGGGACATTCATTAACTTCTAGATCTATTAGTATGTATAAGGCTGCACAAAATTTTAATTGGAGCAAGCATCAAACAAAATAGTTTTGAACTTTGAGCAACTTCAAAAAGACTTGCTGTGACCTTGCTAACTGTCAATTTGCCTCAAACAAGTACCCAACTAAAGTGCGTCACAGCAGTCTTTTGTTTAACATGGTTTTCAGTAGAAGCTAGCGTTATTTAGTGTTACTATACATACTATTGTTACCTTAGCTTACTTGACCAATCAGAAGTTTACCAGATTTGGGCTTCGGACTAGTGGCTAAAGACAGAGGCTGGTTCTTATTCTTTTTCCCAGTTGAGATGTTATGTATTGTCAAATTTTGTCATCATTACTGCGGAAGAACCCTTTTAAGGCTTTTGTTTCATTACAGCAATCGTCTGGAGATGACAGCTTGGCAAAGATAGATGCAATTGTAACAGCAGTAGGCGTGGATGAAGATGTTGTCTACTCCAAGTCTACAGCTCTCCAGGTAGCAACATCCACTGTATACATTTCCTTAAATCTGCATTTATTCTGTTGTCCACTGCTGAATGAATATTGCCACTGACTAGTATCCTAGTTTTAGACTACGTGAATGATTAGGATGGATCTGTTGTTGCAGACATGGCTGTTCGGATATGAGTTGACAGACACGGTGATTGTGTTCTGTGAGAGTGGAATCTACATCCTGGCGAGTAAGAAGAAGATTGACTTCCTGCGTCAACTGGAAAGTGCCAAGGAGAATGACCAGGGTGTACCACCGATCAAACTTCTCACCAGAGACAAGGTGAGTTTGTGCTCATGCTGCTTCACTTGACATAGTGCTGTCCTGGCTGTGGTAACTTATCCCTGTGCTGCTCTCTATGAACAATTTTGATATTGACTTGTTGCTACATAGAGCTACATGTGGTCCAATAGTATTTTTCTAATAAATTCCTGATTCGGAACATACTGCGCTAACAACCCTGCCATAATATACATGAATCGCAATCCCACAAAAACTACCAACAAGATTCGCTTCCTGAAACACTTGCCTTCAAATATGTGTACTTTTATTTTTGATCATGCAACTTTCTGTGTACCGTATTTTCTTGAGTATAGTGCGCACCCGTGTATAATGCGCACTCCCCTCTAGCGGGCTCAATATTTTGAGAAAAAAAAGAAATTTGAATATTATGCGCAGAAAAAAATTACACAGTACCCTTTCAGCAAAGTCCGGCGAACGAACGGGTGATGAGAAACTTCATCAGTACAAATTCGAAATTTGAGATAAAAAGTCACCAGACATGTTTATTTACCGATTAAATAGTATTTATTGTTCTGCTAGGCATTGTTTTATATCCAGGGATTAAGATTACCTTGTGTATTGTCTCGTAAACTAAGCCGGAAACAGCAATCAGCTGTACACACGTTTTCTTGGAATCGACCGGTGATTCGGTCAAGACACACCCAATGATATAACTTTATAGGATTTTTAATTCAAGGATCGGCAACAATTGTATCTGAAACTATTTTTTTTTATCAGGAATAATATATTCCATTATTTTCTTAATAATATGCAGCCTTTACTAAACATATTTAAAATAATAATAACCCTAAGCGAAGCAGCTGATCGCTATTCCCGGGTATTATTTTTTACATGGAACCAATCTGACCAGTCAGACATGATCGCATGATCGCGAGAATTTCATGTTGACATAGTATCGTCAATTGAAAACAAATATGACTTTTAACGAGTCAAAGTATGTCATTTATGATATATGTATCCATTCTCTGTCAACTAAAGTTCGTTTCAAGGCGTCAATAGCGGCGGTATTCTGACCATGGTTGCTGTTAATAACAGTGAGTTGTGCGATCTTCCGATTGCTTAACACACAATTTCGCCGAAATTAATAAAAACAAATTTTTTAACTTATCCTGCATTACTCCGTATTGCATTTACTGCTATGTTTGACAGAGAGACGAACTGTGTGAGATCCAGCTGCTGAAGAAAGTTGTCCCAACCAGCCCAGGAGGCAGCGCCCTCTCACAGTCGGCACGTGACCCGGAAGTCATGACGTCACACCAAAAGACATAACTGCTTTGTCACCTCCACGGACGGACGTACTTTGTATCCCTTGTGGAAATTAAAGCTTATTATTTGTTTTTTATATTTTGCGTGTTTCTACATTCATTATATGCTGCTACATTGTTACCTGTTATGGGCCGTGACCTTAGGGTCTTCCCATTCGTAAATTGTAACGTTTATCGCTCGTCTGTGGCTCACGTCACAGTAATTTACGGGCGCAATGTTGTTCCCGCCATTTTGTTTTCTTTCCCGCCATTTTGGCCATTCACCACGTGGCCACGTAATGTCGTGTTCTGCGTTTTGAATTCTCTCTTTGGCTTGGGTAATACATTACATTTATGTATGTTGTTTTGGTGTGCTTAAAGCCTTGCCTTTTCGCTACCTCTCAGCGTAATTGTTTCTTCTCATAAACTTCAATATAATACGAAGTTTATGAGTTACATTATGTCTCCCGTACTCTGTGGTTTTGCCACATGGTTATGTGTTTGCTTAAGGCTTTGCCTTTTCGCTCCCTTTTAGCGTACTTGTTTATCTCATAAACTTTAATAAAATATACTGTTTTTGAGTTACTTTATGCTTCCCATACTTTGTGATTGGCCACACATTATGCTTCCCGCACTTTGTGGCTTTGCCACATAGTTATGTTTTGCTTAAATTCCAGATTTTCTGCCTCGCTGCACTTGTTTCCGTGGGAACAAATCTGGTCGGGGCCGCCCCTTTCTGCCGTGATTGTACGACGCCCTGTACTTTCACAAGGCAGTGCCGATGTTGCAGTCATTCGTCGCTGTGATCCTTCAGCTCATGCGAGTATCCAGGACACACCTCGCTCAACGTGCTCGTCGACCCCCACCTACGTTGACGGCAGCAGCGCTCAGCGGAGCTTCACGGCGGCTCCCAACGTAGAGTCTGCCTCCCATGGCACGACATACGACCGTTCACGGTCTCCTACTCCACTGGCGGCTCCAGCGCTCCCAACGTAGAGTCTGCCTCCCATGGCACGACATACGACCGTTCACGGTCTCCTACTCCACCGGCGGCTCCAGCGCTCCCAACGTCAACGCTGATGTCTCCGGCGCCTCCGATGACTCGGCGCCTCTGATGACGCGGCGCCTCCGATGTCTCGGCGCTCCCGGCGCCTCTGATGACTCGGCGCCTCCGATGTCTCGGCGCTCCCGGCGCCTCTGATGACGTGGCGCCTCCGGCGCCTCTGATGACGCGGCGCTCCTGGCGCCTCCGGCGCCTCCGATGTCTCGGCGCTCCCGGCGCCTCTGATGACTCGGCGCCGCTGATGTCTCGGCGCTCAACAAGCTTCATGACAAGCTGATGACTCGGCGCCGCTTATGTCTCGGCGCCTCCGCATCCTCTGATGTCTTCGGCGCTCAACAAGCTTCAGATCAACAAGCTTTATCAAGCTCAGATCAACGAGCCGACCATCCGATCTTCTACTGCGGCTTAAGGGGCACCATCGGCAATCGCCTCCCCGGCGCCACTGCCCTCTTCTCTTGCTGCCGTCTCATAACTCGTCACACGGAGAAGCATGGTGAAACAACTGTCGCCGCTCCTTTCGCTACTCTCCCGTCGGTCTTGGGGATCGTGACTATCGTTCTACTTCCTGGGTGGAATCATTTCAACCAATAGACAGTTGGTCTGATTCAACTTGCCCACTGAGACGTTATCCATAATCCCGTCGTTTAAAGCGCTATGATTCCGGAGAGATGACCTGCGGGTTTCCATCGAAACAGAGCGTCATGTGAACAGCGTCTGTATCAGATTCGACGACGACATCCACTTACAAAGAGTTTACTTCGTCGACATCGCAGACATCAACGCTGTTCTACCCTACCCTAGCGCCAGCGTTCCTGAGAGAGACTCTTCCTCGGCGCTTCCCGGGTTTTCCACGACGCCCATGGGGTTCCGTGTTTTATCGCAAAACTCGGGTACACCACTTGATCGTCTCTCACACAGTTCATTGAGGATTGTCTGTGTGTGGAGTTTACACCTCAGTTCCGACTCCAAGGCGGTTTTCTCGGCTACTGCGCAGAGTGATTTACATGTCACGTGTCAAGTACTCGGACTGTCAACAACTCCGACCGGATTTAGGTCAACTTGCCATGGCAAGGGGTGCCATGTATTTCTACAGATTGGTTTCCATGTCTACCTGTACGCTTGGTGATACCACTCAACCAGGCGCCTGTCGCAGTCCATCCATGCACGGATGTTGGAAACAATAGACCTCCTCTACCAACACGGCTGTCACGAGGAACCTTGTTTCATCAACCCTTCGCTATAAGAACGATAGCGCCTATAGGCGTTCAAGGGATGGAAAAGATCGCCTTCCTTCGTCCGGTTTGATCTTTTCGACTACGACACCTTCCTATCTTCCGCCTTGACTACCGGACACAGTGTCGATTTGATACTTAAAGTCCCTCGGCCGTCCCACTGACCCCTGTTGCATACCTGCCTCGTATCGTGTTGTCGTCCTCCATCGTCACCTCGATATAAGAACAGGAGTACTTATACGCCGCTTCAGGGATGAAAACGATCTCATTACTTCGTGCAATGGCCATATTGCCTCGACTTCCTACTACCCGGTTACGTCGATGCCCCGGCGGTCGATTGTGAAGCTGGTTTACTTCGTCTACTTGAGGTTGGCTCGCAGGCGATCACACCTTTTTCCGAATCGTACCGACGGTACGCAATCGCAGACCCCTGTTGCTGACGACCTCCCCTGCCACCTTGTCAGTGGCTAGTGGCCCACGCCAGCCCACATTGTGACCACCTGTGATCCAGAGATCAACACCATTGGCACAGCAACAGCCTCGAGATAAATGCTTATCCAGGACGGCACTTGCTGATAGTGCATTCTCAGTCACGCCCTGTTGATCGTGTCCACTGACGACGTCACCGTAGTGTGGTGTTTGCGGACCCAGAGTTCTCGCCCCTCTCCCGGCGCCACAAACTCGACCGGCGCCCCCGAGAATCACCATCTTCGGCGTTCCAGGCGCCTCAAGCTCTCCGACGCCTCACGCTCTCCGGCGCCTCGGGCCAGACTATGTGAAACGGTCGACACCCCAACCCTAGATCTGTTTGCCTCATATCTGAATGTGGCCAGCTGTCGTCTTCCATTCCACCTGTGCCGGATACGACCGCTGTGGCAGTCGAAGCCTTCCATCGTTCCTGAGAAGGATTACGCGCGTACGCTTTTCCGACTCCGGTTCTCCCTCCCACGGTTCTTCAGAGATCCAGGCAACTCGACACCTGCCATTGACTTTGGTCTCGCCTTATTGGTCAGCCAGAAGTTGGGTTATCGACCTCCGAAACATAGCCAGAGACAACCCCTGGAACTTCCGGTGTGGTCCAACCTTCTGCTCCATCCACACGGTCTGTTGCCACACCCTCATACCCGCATGTTATCGTCTGCACGCCTGACACACATGCAGAAAGCCAAGGGCTATTCGGCTAGAGCGACCAAGGCTATTGCTTCAGCCCACCGTCCATCTACAGGGGGACTGTATGCTGATAATTGATGCTTGTTCCAGGCATTTTGTTCTGACAAACACCAGGATCCGATGACAGCGTCACCGCAGATCCTGGATCAGTTCCTTCTGTACTTGTGTAGCACCCATCGGTTGAAGGGCTTACCACCCCCACATACCTGGTCGCCATCTACTCCTTTCTGGCCATCCCGGACGATCGGAGAAAGACGAAAATTCCCGACCTACGGGCCTGGCTGCGCTCGTTCAGTCTTGAAGACCTGAAGACCAAGTTCGGACCGCCTGCGTTGGATCTGAATGTGGTCTTCAATGCCCTTCGAACCACTCCCCTCGTCTTCCTTCTTCGACCTTAAGTAGAAGACGGGTGTTTCTACTGGTTTTGACTACTGCCGCTCGAGTCCATGTACAGCACGCCCTCGACGTCTCCCATGCCCGGTTCGAATGCGGTACCCAGGGCGCCGCGTTCATCCTGGACCGTACTGGGACGTCAGCGTAAAGACTCAACTCCCAGGACAGCCTGATAGATCATTCCTTGTCCCCTCCCCCCTCGTCCAGTGTGGGTGCCGAGGATGAGGATGAGCGTCATTATGCCCAGTAAGGGCACTGAAGGTTATTCTACGATCTAAAGACTGCCGCAAGTCTAGGAAACACCTTTTTCTGCCGGTCTCCCCTTCGTCGCTGTCGTTGGTCAGCCGGAATACTTTTCCCTGTGGCTCCGGGCGGTCATCCTTAAAGCGTATGAGCCGCCGGATTGGACCCTCCCCCCAAAGGCTATTACCTGAAATAAAATGAGATCAGGGCGATCGTATTTACACTGGTTCTTCACGGTATACTGTTCCATCCCGTCGTTCAGGGAAGCCTGTTCGTGGCGATCGGACACCGCCTTCACCAACCACTACTTCCGTGATGTAGCCTTGAAAGTTGTCGCCGGCGTTCACAGTTTTGGTCCCTGGTTGTAGCCCAACAGGTCATCTATCTCCGACGCCACTGATTCTCCGATACCCTGAGCGGGGCCCGTCGACCTTTCTGGTGTTTATCACCCCAGACGAGACGGCTCTCTTGCGTTCCGCATTCGCTCTTAGGTCAGTTTTAGTTTTGGGTTACCCGACTCATTCTATTGCTGTCACCTATCCGGGTTTTACTTTTTGCATCAACTCTCGTTTCCTGACGACAGGAATGGTAGTAGATGTGGACACCGGCGCCGACGCCAACGCCGCTGCTTCTCTGGTACCTGAGCGGTGCCCGTCGACCTCACCGGTGTTCCTTGCCTCCAGCCTAGAGGGCTCTCCTGCGTTTCGCATTCGCTCTTGGGATTGGTCGTAGATTTTGCCGCCGACGCCGCTGATTCTTCGATTCCCCGAGCGGGGCCCGTCGAACTCTCTGGTGTTTATCACCTCAGATTAGCTCTAGGTTCTACTGCGTTTCGCTTTCGCTCTTCGGTAAGTTATATATTTTGGCTACACGCCTCATTGTATTTCGGTTACCTATTCGGGCGTTTTTTGCATCGTCTCTTGTTTCCTGAAGACAGGAATGGTCGTAGATGTTCCGGTCATCACTTGTATGCGGTGCGGATTCATCGGACCTTGACGAGGGTTTAATATGGTTCACATCTGCAAGTATGCCCACCGGCCAAGCCGTCTGATAAAGATGCAATACGGAGTAATGCAGGATAAGTTAAAAAATTTAGTAAAATCTAAATATTTTTTACATTTGTATACTTATCCTGCATTACGAAGTCTAAGTTCCCTCCCTTTCGCTACGCTACCTCCCCACGAAGTTTCAGATGTTATGTTTAAAGCAGTTATGTCTTTTGGTGTGACGTCATGACTTCCGGGTCACGTGCCGACTGTGAGAGGGCGCTGCCTCCTGGGCTGGTTGGGACAACTTTCTTCAGCAGCTGGATCTCACACAGTTCGTCTCTCTGTCAAACATAGCAGTAAATGCAATACGGAGTAATGCAGGATAAGTATACAAATGTAAAAAATATTTAGATTTTACTAATATTAAAAGGAATTTTGAATAAAATTCATGAAATAAGTTACAAACATAAGTCCAGATATACAAATAACACTTTTTATAGCCAGACAGTGTAATTACATGATTATTTTGCGTACTTCAGTATGGATTTGTTGACATGGTATTTCCGGTGTTTCGTGCTCACGGTAATGTCTTTCCATGGGGGAAAAAAACATCCAAACTCATAATTCGTGTATAATACGCACCCCCTTCCACACAGCTGTTTTTTTTGGAAAAAAAAGTGCGCACTATACTCAAGAAAATACGGTACTTATTGGATTGTAATCAGCGAGAGGGTTCTGAATTTTTTCAGCAGCGGTGGATGAAAAATTGTTACCAGTCCAGTTTACACCCGATAAGTAAATACATTGTTGCAAAATCTAAAATATAAGTAAATTTTTACTTGAAGGCAAGTCTCTTAGGAAGTGAATGATGTTGCTTTTGTCATTAGATCATGATGCATGCACTTTGCTGAAGCATATATAGTGTGATGCAGATTTGGATCAGGGATCTATTAGGAAAACACTTTTGGACAATCTATAACTGTAGTGACAAGTGAACATCGAAATCGTGTACAGGGATCAGCACAGATATATGATTACCGCAGCCAAGTCAGCTAGACTGACCACCTGATCCCTCTAGCATGGGTTGTTGAAGACCAGTTCTAACCCGGATCTCCACTGGGATGAGGTCATGTACATGCAGATACAGTATATACCTGTATATGTATTTAAGAACAGGAACTAATGGTATGATATTTAGCTCACCTGACCAAAAGTCAAATAAATAAATTGGTGTGGCTTAAACTATTTTATATATGTATACTATGGAAAAAAGGAAGGGGATGTTTTGTTTTTAGGTGATACTACATGAAAATACAATAAAAGTCTTGCAATGAAAGTCCCCTGACCTCTTCGACGACCACCATCTCATCATGCTCATCACACCAAGCATTAGAATCCATTAGGTCTGGTTGCCTTCTCCTCAGTAGATGTGATCATATCATTTCCATTTGCCAGTATCATAAAGATCTGAAGATGTGTCTTGATCGTTCCCCCTATCCTCGGGTTGTGGGGTAGCCTAGTGGTTAAAGTGTTTGCTCGTCATGCCGAAGACCCGGGTTCCAATCCCTACATCATGTGTACATGGCTACAATGTGTGAAGCCCATTTCTGGTGTCCCCCGTCATGATATTACTGGAATATTGCTAAAAGCAGCATAAAACCTCTCTCACTCCCCCTATCCCCTACTTTTTTGGCACAGTATTATCATCTATTAGTAACACTGAGAGTGACTTGTAATCATGGTAACACTGATTATCTTTTTTTGTTTTTCAGGCGGACAAGGACAAAGCTAATTTTGCTAAACTGACATCATCCATCACCGACAGTAGAAAGGTATTTTTACCCTTCATAGCTATAATGAAATACTCATATAAATGATACATAATGTTGTGACTGTGTATTTTCTATAGCCATGCAAAAACTGAAATACTGGACAAGGAAGCGTGGCACTCAACCTGCCCCTTAATAAGGAGATATCTCTTTGAAAAGGAGGGTTGTACTTTTGAGAAATGTGAGTATTTTGTGGAGGTACAATCCTGAGAAAGTTTTTAAACTGTAATGTGTTGACTTGTGTTATCTGTCAGGGCAAGATAGTAGGAGAGTTCAGCAAGGACAAATTCCCCGGGGACTTCATGAACGACTGGAGGGCAGCCCTCAAGTCAGCAGGCTTCGAGAAGGTGCGTACATTTAGAGTCGTTGACTGAAAGAAATGTGGGCAATAGTCGACATGGATTATATGGATAGATATGTTTTGGAGTGTTTTGACTTTGGCTGGGTAGGGAATACCTATTCCATTATGTTCTTGACTCTTGGTGACTATGCTTGTCGTAAGCATCTTCCCAAGGCAAGAGAGTTAACTGACTATAAAAGTCCAGTTTCCACCCTTGCCGAACTAGCCTGGTATTATGGAGTTATTTTTTGGCTGGACTAACAAGACTATGCACTGTCCAATTTTTTTTTTCCATTGCTATTACCTTGATTAATATATAATTACGAAGCCTTAAAGTTGGTTTACTACTATTGCAATACTATATAACAATAGTTTACAAGTATCCAAGTACTATTGCAATAGTGTGGGGTACTTTTGTAATGCAATCACAACAGTGAAAATGGCCGAAATAGTCTCCTGTGAAAGTTGTTGGCCCTCCATATATTGCTTCGACCTCTCCACTCCAGTCGGACATCAGCGTGCCAATGGCGTATATTATGGCTCCAAAGGAGGAGTCGGAGCAGAAGACGATACAGAAGGCTTGTCAAGTCACGTGCGATGTGTTCCAGAAGTACCTCAAGGAAAACATCATGGAGATCATCGATGCTGAGAAGGTAAAAAACGCTCATTTTGTGACAAGATGTGCTTCAGTGGTCGCGAGCCTAGTCACTTTTAATGTTAGGAATTGGTTGTACAGTCATGATTTATGATTGGGTCAGTGTAACTTATCGATCGTCAAAATTAATCGGATATCATCATCTGTTTATCTATTTCTTTTCTGGATCATAACTTGAAAACCGGGAAAGATTTTTCATCCAAACTTGGTACATGTACTCACCAGGGGCTGAAGTGGTGCCTTTTACGATTTAGGAATTAGATTTGATTGTTCCCTGTTTCCATGGATACAAAGTTGGACTTGGCTGAAACAGAGGTACATGTTGTTTCCGGAGCAGAACTAAAAAAAACATTCAAGATTTTTCAATCAAACTTGGTACATATATTAAGCGAGATAAAGCTGTGCCTATTTTAGAATTATTTGTTCCTGTTTCCGTGGCAATCAGTTTGACTTTGACTCTGTTGTATATTGGTGTGTACCTGACATAGAAATACAAAGTTCCGAATCCCAATTCCATGGTATTGTTTTGATAGGTCAATAACTACTCATGTATATGAACAGACCTTTGGACTTACTGTAAGATGATTTGTTCTTTCAAATTTGTGGGAGCCGGGGGGATTTGTCTGATGACTTTTGTGCATTGTTTTTCATACATATGTTCAAAAAAACTAGATCACACCTAACAAACACAAATACATAATTCAGCACTTTATTGTTTAGAAAGTACTGAGTAGTAAAGGGTGAATAAATCTTCTCGGGGTTGAGAGAGGCTGCAAAATATTTTGTGTTCAATTATATCAAATTGTGTTTGTTTGCTTGGTTGTTTGGACCTACTGATCAATCAGAACCCAACAAGTCACTTGTAGCTGTGCCAGAGTTCCCTGCTGGTGATTCATATCCCAGATTAGTCCCAGTTAGGATGGTTAGGCTTGGACGCTGTTAAAGAAAAGCATGAAAACCAATTCATTTACACTCGAACATACGTGATGTGCACACACTCACTTATTTATCTGAGATGCACTCTTCACACCTACGGGATCGATGCTCATGATATTAATCACTGGATTATCTGGTCAAGACTCGATTATTTACAGACTACCGCCATATAGCTGGAATATTGATGAGTTTGGCGTTAAACAATAAACCAACCAACCAACTTTACACCTTCAGAAACAATTGGTATCGTTGTTGATCAGACAGGAATTTATTGACGAAAATGTATTCAATTGCTAATGCATCGGACTCCTTCTCTGGAACTACTTTCACAGGCTGAATGTATTCAATTGCTAATGTATCTGACTCCTTCGCTGGAACTACTTTCACAGGCTGAATGTATGAAAACATTATTGTCCACAGAAAGTGAAACACTCCAAGTTGGCTGATGGCGTGGAACAGGCTCTCCAGAACAAGAAGTATGTGACGGGGGCGGACACCTCCCAGCTGGACATGTGTTACCCTGCCATCATCCAGAGCGGGGGCAAGTACTCCCTCAAGTTCAGCACCGTCAGGTACGCCCAGCCATGTACACCATACATGGACATCACCTGGAGACCACACTCCCAGCATTGAGGCCCTTGTGGCCAAGTCATTTATCATGTTGCTATTCACTGCAGAATTGCATATTTTAGGCTTGTGAGAAATCTATAGCCGTGGGTTCAAATCCCAGGTTGCTCTGATATTTTAGGTTTGTCAGCACCATTCCATTGCCTGTGGGTTTCACCAATGTAACATCTAAGATCTGCAAAACTTCAGACTTTATTGCAAATGATACTGATGTGCCGCTGTGTTACCGAAATACACGTCAAAGCAGCATTAAACCCAACTCACTCATAATTTGGAAATATAATCTTTTGAATTTTTTAGCCAATTGGTTTTGGAATTGAGATGGTCTTTTGCCCTTGTCTTTCAGTGATGACAGTCCAGTTCACTTCGGCACTATTGTCTGCTGTTTGGGAGCACGCTACAAGTCATACTGTTCCAACATCTGCCGCACACTCCTTGTGGACCCTACAGACGAGATGCAGAAAAACTATGACTTTCTTCTGAAGGTGCAGGACGAGATCCTCGGCAAACTCCAACATGGTGAGGGAGATACCATGTTATAGTGGCGGCAAGATGTGTGATTTACGCGAGATGCTATGTCGTTAGAAGTGAGAAAATGTTTATGTAGGATATGTGTTCGTGCTCAGGTTGTGAGTAATTATTCTTTCATTTAATGCGGGGGGTAAAGTTGTTGCCTGTCCATCTGTCAGGCCGTCCATCTGTCCGTAATCATTTCATTTCCGGAGCACAACTCAAAAACCATTCAATATTTTGCAACAAAACTTGGCAGATATATCAAACAGACCCTGAAGTGGTGCCATTTTCTATGATAATGCAAGATAAGTATACAAATGTAAAAAATATTTAGATTTTACTAATGACAAATTTTTGGTATTTTTATTTATGGAAACAATTTTGACTTAGTCTCAAAAGGGAGTGGTGGATTTCGTTTCCGGAGCACAATTTGAAAACCATGAGGACTTTTCATCCAAATCTGGTGCATGTTTTAACCAAGGGTTGGAAGTGGTGCCTTTTGCTATTCATGGATTTGTAGAAATTAAATTTCTTCTGTTTACAGAGGAACAAGATTGATTTTGACTCTGTTTATAGTGGTGTGTTTGTCCGTTTGTCTCTAAAAGTAGTAGGTTCTCTTTCATGATACTGTGCACACACAAAGACCAGGTTGTCAACTGGTGCCTTTTGCTATTTAGGGATTTTTAGAATTTTTGTTTAAGTTTGACATTAACTCTGTTCACATCGGTGTGTACAGAACATAGAAATTCAAAGTTCCTAATTCCAATTCCAAGGTATTGTTTGATAGCTCAATCACTACTCTTGTATATGGACAGACAGGTCAAATAGAAACTCTCATCAAGTTGGACTTACTGTAACAGTCAGATGATTGTTCTTTTGAAATTGTGGGGGGGAAATTTGTCATCGTCTGAAGACTCTTGTTTCAAGATTGTCTTGAGTGAAATATGTTCTTTAAATCCCAAGGTGAAATAGTTGTTGCATGATTCATTCTTCCTCCAGGTACCAAACTGAATGAGGTTTATGAAGCAGTGATGAAGCTGGTCAAGTCCGAGAAACCCAACCTGATGGAGAAGATGACCAAGACTTTCGGCTTTGCGATGGGTATCGAGTTCAGGGAGGGCTCCTTGCTCATCTCACCGAAGACCAATTCTCCTGCCAAGAAGGGTAGGGACAGTTATACTGTTTGAAAACCCTTATCTAGGGAAAGAGAGACTTATTGAGCTTGGTTGTGAAGGGTTGTCATTCAGAGAAACATTTCTAGTACTTGCTAATACTGAGAATCGTAGATACAAACTGATAATTTGAAAACAGATTGCTGGTTATATAGGAATTACATTTAAGCTAGTGTATTGACTGTAGGCACCTGAGGGGCCAGTCTGGTAGCCTAGTGGTTAAAGGATTTGCTCGTCATGCCGAAGACCTGGTTTCAATTTCTACTTACCGGAATACTGTTAATCCCTCACTCGGTTTGAGAAAACTTCATCATTTAATAGACGTATGAAGATCTTAATCTATTAGTCTTGGCCTTGCAGTTAATATCATACATTTGAACTCGCCTTGACTGCAACAATCTGTCGCTTCAGGAATGGTGTTCAACGTGAATATTGGTTTTTCTGGTCTGACGAACAAGGAAGGCAAAGACGAACACTCTAGGACATACGCCCTGTTCATCGGGGACACAGTCCTTGTCAATGAGGTGGGTGGAATATTCTAGGACATACGCCACAGTCCTGTTGAGTGAGGTGTGTGTTACATTCTAGGATATATTAGCCGTGATATAACTGGAATACTGTTCAAAGCAGCGTTAAATCCAACTCACTCACTCACTTACTCTAGTATAAGAAGATCCGGGTTAGAATAGGTCTTCAGCAACCCATACTTGCTGTAAAAGGTGAAATGCTAGTCGTAAGAGGCGACTAACGGGACTGGGTGCTCAGACTCTCTGACTTGGTTTGATGCATGTCATCGTATCCAAATTGCATGGATCGATGCTCATGATGTCATGAGAACACAGAACTGTTTATCGGGGAAACAGACCTAGTAAATGAGGTGGGTTGAACATTGTAGACATACACCCTGTTTATCAGGAACACAGTCCTCGTGAATGAGGTGGGTGGAATTATTGTGAGGTCGTGCAAATTATATGTCCTGATAAGTTGTTTAACACTCATGTTGAGCAGGTAATATAAATACAATGACTGACGTCAACTTTACACAATGTTGCTTTCACAGAATTCCTCTGCCACGGTTCTGACCAGTGTCAAGAAGCGTATCAAACACATCGGTATCTTCCTCAAGGACGAAGAGGAGGAGGAGGAGGAAGAAGAGGAAGAGGTTAAGGAGGAGGAAGTGCTTGGCCGTGGTCGGCGTTCAGCTGTGCTCGAGAGCAGAACCAGGGTAAGTGCTCATAAAACAGTCCCAGGTGAATTTCGGAGTGAAAGTATCAAACTTCTTCGGCTAAAATTACAAATTCAAAAAGTAAAAATATTAATCTCAGTGTAAACAGTTTATGCAGTCATGATGCCCAAATCCGTGGTTTTTCTACAGTTCTGCTGCAAGTTCCATTTTCTGAAAATATTTCCACAATCGTGGAATTGCAGAAATCCCTGACTGATAAAGGTTAAGCAGAAACAGGAGAGCTATATAGGGCTGAATTCTGTCGTGATCATATGGACAAAGTAGTCTTTCTGGGATTGTTCAATGTGTTCAGGTGTGAAGCAGTATTCAGACATGCTCTAAGCATCAGTAAATGTTTCCAGACGGACGTGTCTTCGGAGGACAAGCGGCTGAAACACCAGAGGGAGCTGGCCACCAGGTTGAACGAGGAGGCCAAGGAACGACTGAAGGGAATGAAATCCGATTCAGGGGAGAAAAAGTGAGTAGTGAAGTTGAAGGAAACTCTTCCAGACCACACAGCTGCCTTCTCTATTTGGCAATAATAATAAACACTGAGTGCCACTGGCAAAAGGTTACAGTTAGCACCTTATACTATGGTCAGTGGGGCGGTCGGGTAGCCTAGTGGTTAAAGCGTTCGTTCTCTCATCACGCCGAAGACCCGGGTTCGATCCCCGCCATGATATTGCTGGAATATTGCTAAAAGCGGCGTAAAACCATACTCACTATAATGGTCAGTTGGGTAATCGGAACCACACTATAATAGTTCATCTTATCCTGACTCATGCTTATTGCTTATCTCTACTCATCCCGAAAGGTAGTAGAAACTTCCTGAACTGTGTTCCTGGAGAACAGAGAAAACACACCCCTAGAACCATTAAAACACAACACTGCTAAAAGCGTTAAACCTTACTCACTCACCCCCCCCCCCCCAAGACTTCGCCACGGGAGATATTGCCGGGATTCACCAAATCGGACCCTTAGTGGTCGCTCAACTGTTGACAGTACCTTACCAAAGATATCTAAAATCAAACATGTCCAAAATCATGCAGACTCGTAAATGTGAAGTTGCTGACCCATAACCACCATCCGAGAGTCCATGCTCCCCTGGTTTACTATGTAATGCAGAACATGAGTGATAACGATTGTGTCAAGATTATGACCTTTCTTAACACAAGAATCATTCTAAGTAAGCTGGAAGATAATTCTATGCGCCCTTACGAAATCTCTTGATTTACTGCCGACTCTCACAAGTGGACCACTACAGATTGATGTCCAAGAAGATAAAGGTGAAACCACGTTCCCATGGGGGTTATTAAACAGATCACAATCTGAATCATGCATCGGTGGATCCCACCACCATTCGTGGGATTCAAGCAATTAGCATCTGAGTTCAGATAAGGTCACATGTTTCCTATGTGGCTGCGCAGCTGGGGGGTGCATTCGTGTGAGATGTTTTTCTCTGTTCAAGGGAACACAGCGAAGGAGTTTTCACTACCTTTCGGAATGAGATGAGATAAGCAATCAGTATGAGACAGGATAAGTATAATGATATTTTTACCCTTAAAACACCCTGTCCCAGACTGGCAATCTACTTGAAAGACTGATCGGTAAAGGTTGTGATGGAGGAAGCTGTATGGTATACCATATTCGACGTAATAAGCGCCCAGGGCGCTCTCAAAATTAGAAATAGGGGGCTCTTATAAGAATATTATTTTAGTGGAAAAAAAAACAGAGTTGAAAGATAAATTTCGTGGTTTATGCTGACAGCCTGAAGTGTTTATGTACGACAGATATTTATTTTCCAGAATTTAATTGCCCATAATTAAGGGTGCATACAACACATGAGTGAGTATTATACGCGAATAAATAAGTCTTGTGTACATTGATCAATCGGAAGGGCTGCTAATTGGGATTGTTCACCGGCCAATATATTAGCAAATGTCGCCGTGGGCGTTTATAAGAGCGGGGCGCTTATTACGTCGAATACGGTACTCTTTGTTTACCAGTTCATCTACAGCTGCTCTCTGCTGCATGTTTGTGACACATCTATGACACATCTATGACACATCTACTTGCCTGCTGGTCCAAGACTAGCACCTTCTACTTGTTTTATAACCTACTTGTCTGAAATGAGCTGTGGACTAGTTCTCGTAACTCATGTTTTCCACTACTGTAGAGTGCGCAAGTCTAATGTCTCCTATAAGAGCTTCAACCATTTCCCTCAAGAATCAGAAGTTCGTGATCTCAAGATATATGTTGGTAAGTAAATAGAACTATAGACACATGCAGATCACTGAAATGGTAAATAAACCTAATTCCTGCATAAACGAAACCACTTTTACATCATTGCCATAAATCCTGTAATTTTGACTGTCATTACACTATAAAAAAATTCAGATTTTCAACAGAAGTCATTTCACTCTCCACTATCCATAAGAAGTTGTGCAAGTAATAGTATCTTGCTACCAAGGCCTCTTGGGCATGCGTAAGGTTGGGAAACTCACTTCTTTCTAACTTCAGTTCAATCAAGATGCAGATAATTGGAGGTGGCGGGTTTACTCCTGATGTAATAGGGGTAGTATTCTCAGTATTATTGACAATCATATCTATTGTTTGATTGACTTGAATACCCTTATAACATTGAAGGTGCCGCTAGCAACAGATACACGTTCATGATCATCTCTTTCTTACAGACAAGCGATATGAAACAATCATCCTCCCAATATTTGGCAGCCCCGTACCTTTCCATATCTCCACAATCAAGGTGAGTGTTTCGCTGTTGCCACACTTCAACACTCATACTGTCATGGAGTCCAAACAAGCTGCAGATAGCATTCCTATGAATATTGTTCCTTTGGAAATATCAAAATTATTAGTTTCAGTGTGATATGGTGAATGACTGTGGAGATCAATGATCGTGTGTATGACCATGATTGTGTGTAGGTCAAAGATTGTATATAGATTATTGATTGTATGTAGGTCAATGATTGTATATAGATTATTGATTGTATGTAGGCCAATATTAGTAGGTAGGTCAATGATTGTATGTAGGTCAATGATTGTATGTAGGTCAATGATTGTGTGTAGGATTATTGATTGTATGTAGGTCAGTGATTGTATATAGATTATTGATTGTATGTAGGCCAATGATTGTATGTAGGTCCATGATTGTGTGTAGGATTATTGATTGTATGTAGGTCAATGATTGTATATAGATTATTGATTGTATGTAGGCCAATATTAGTAGGTAGGTCAATGATTGTATGAAGGTCAATGATTGTGTGTAGGATTATTGATTGTATGTAGATCAATGATTGTATATAGATTATTGATTGTATGTAGGCCAATGATAGTTTGTAGGTCAATGATTGTGTATAGGGTTATTGATTGTACATAGGTCAATGATTATATATAGATTATTGATTGTATGTAGGCCAATATTAGTAGGTAGGTCAATGATTGTGTGTCGGATTATTGATTTTATGTAGGTCAATGATTGTATATAGATTATTGATTGTATGTAGGTCAATGATTGTATATAGATTATTGATTGTATGTAGGCCAATATTAGTAGGTAGGTCAATGATTGTATGTAGGTCAATGATTGTATGTAGGTCAATGATTGTATGTAGGTCAATGATTGTGTGTAGGATTATTGATTGTATGTAGGTCAGTGATTGTGTATAGATTATTGATTGTATGTAGGCCAATGATTGTATGTAGGTCCATGATTGTGTGTAGGATTATTGATTGTATGTAGGTCAATGATTGTATATAGATTATTGATTGTATGTAGGCCAATATTAGTAGGTAGGTCAATGATTGTATGAAGGTCAATGATTGTGTGTAGGATTATTGATTGTATGTAGATCAATGATTGTATATAGATTATTGATTGTATGTAGGCCAATGATAGTTTGTAGGTCAATGATTGTGTATAGGGTTATTGATTGTACATAGGTCAATGATTATATATAGATTATTGATTGTATGTAGGCCAATATTAGTAGGTAGGTCAATGATTGTGTGTCGGATTATTGATTTTATGTAGGTCAATGATTGTATATAGATTATTGATTGTATGTAGGTCAGTGATTGTATATAGATTATTGATTGTATGTTGGCCAATGATTGTATGTAGGTCCATGATTGTGTGTAGGATTATTGATTGTATGTAGGTCAATGATTGTATATAGATTATTTATTGTATGTAGGCCAATGATTGTATATAGATTATTTATTGTATGTAGGTCAATATTAGTAGATCAATGATTGCATGTAGGTATATGATTGTGTGTAGAATTATGATTGTGTGGAATGACCATTGTGTGTAGAAAGATAGTGTAGGTACATGATTGTATGTAGGTCAATGATTGTATGAAGAACCATGATGGTATGTAGGTCAGTGATTGTGTGGAATGACCATTGTGTGTAGAAAGATAATTGTGAAGATCAATGATTATGTCAAGAACAGTCAATGTGTCAAGAATGATACTTGTGTAGTTTAATGATTGTATCAAGAACAATGATTGTGTGGAATGGTCATTGTGTAAAGAACAAATATCGTGTAAATATTGTGTAATATAACAGTTTCTTAAGTTGAATGTGTGTAGATGATACATTGCGAGAAGATAGAGGATAGAGTCTAGGACTGTTTTATTGCAGGAGAGATTGTGTATACAGTGATTGTGTTTAGGAAAATGATTATGACACCAACCTGTTTGTGTCTACAGAATATATCGTCATCTGTGGAAGGAGATTACACGTACCTGCGAGTCAACTTCTTCCACCCTGGAGCTACCCTGGGAAAGAATGAGAATGCCTTCCAGCAGCCCGACGCCAACTTCCTGAAAGAAATGTAATGTTACTGACCAGATCTCAACATTGTCAGAATGTCATTTTAGTGATGTTTGTTGTTTTACGCCGCACTCAGCAATAGTCCAGCTATATGACAGTGGTCTGTAAATAATCGAGTCTGGACCAGACAATCCCGTGATTGCCATCATGGACGTCGAGCTATGCAATTGGGATACAATGACATCAACCAAGTCAGAGAGCCTGACCACCCAATCCCGTCTCTTACGACAAGCATGCGTTGCTGAAGACCAATTCTAACCCGGAATCTTCACGGGACCATTTTGATAATGACTTGATTACATTCACGCTGTCAGTACCAAGCTTTAAGCATTTTGGTGTTTCTCATCTCATGTTCCATTGATAACTTCAGCGTCAAGTGTGCTTTTGAGAATATCTGCCATAGTTATTGACATTACCAAGATGTAATATGCTGATGTTACCAGGGTGGACAGATGTTTGATTCATATTCAGAAACTATTGTTACAATCCACTCTTGACTATTCACAGGTTCCTTGTATATCTTCAGTGTTCCACACTTCCGATGTATGACTGTGTGACGTTCTCCTACATGCAGGCTGTTTAAACTAACATTCTGTTTTTGTTAAGCAGTGATCCAGGTCACACACTGTTTTACCCATGTTTCGGAATGTTCCAGTACATATCGTAGCTCCAACACCAAAGAACCTGGAGAGATCTCCGCACCCTCGTCCAATCTCAACACAGCGTTCCGTCTCATCAAGGAGGTCCAGAAGAAGTTCAAGACGAGAGAGGCAGAGGAGAGAGAAAAGGAGGTGAGTGCCAGTAGAGGTGGCTCTGGATAGATATCTTACTACGGAGTTATGTCCCTTACATAAGCTCTATGCTGTTGAGTTGTCTCCCTTAAAGACGTTCTCTACTGTTGCATTATCTCCCTGAAGTAAGTTCTGTATGGTTGAGTTATCTCCCTTAAATAAGTTCTGTTTGGTTGAGTTATCTCCCTTCAATAAGTTCTGTATGGTTGAGTTATCTCCCTTAAATAAGTTCTGTATGGTTGAGTTATCTCCCTTAAATAAGTTCTATACAGTTGAGTTGACTCCGTTAGATGACATGCGTTAGATGAATTTGTGAATTCCACTAAAACAGACACTGTGATATCACTGGAATATTGTTAAAAGCCGCGTTAAATCCAACTCACTCACTCCACTAAAACAGTAGATGTTTGCAGACTGCGTCACTATGTTGCTTCTTTCTACACTGTGTTATGACTAAACAAACCAGTGGACCAATCGGTGATAGCTTATAGTGAATGTTTTTGTTTGTTTCCAGGGCATTGTAAAACAAGACACCTTGGTGGTGAATCCCAATCGAGGAAATGCAAAGTTAAAGGATCTCTACATCAAACCAAACATCGTCTCTAAGAGAATTTCTGGCACCCTGGAGGCTCACACAAATGGTGAGACATTAGTGTAGACGTGCTACTGATTCACAGATTCACAAGTTTGTATACCTTGACCTGACCAGTAACAGGTGGTTGGCACCCAAAGTGGTGGTCTGTGACTGAAATACTGTTGAAAATGGTATATTTTCTACTTATCCTTCATTACTCCTTAATGCATCTACTGCTTACCGTACGACAATAAAGGACAGCACCTAGCAATGGTCTTGGGTGAAGAGAAAAGTTGTTTCGCTCTCAGATCCCTCTTTTTATATGGACCATCGCTGCTAAGGAGTAATGCAGGATAAGTATACAAATGTAAAAATTATTTAGATTGTACTAATAATCCTGACTTAAAGGATAAAGACTTCTGGTTCACTGTATTTAACAGCATTTTGATGTAGATTCTTACACTGTTATCATGCACTCCAACTAAATCCATTGAAACAGAAGTTTTTATCCATAAAGCTTTGTTTTCTTATCCCTATCTCTTCTGATGTGTTCTACTGAATTGATAAAGTCTCTGATACGCCATTTCTTGCTTCTCTTTCTGTACTTCATTCCAATCTGGGGACACAATATTATGCGCAGAAAAATAATTACACCGTACCCTGTTTAATATTTTTTTTATCAGTTTTATTCAGTTCAAATTTTTGTACCAAAATTTAAACATTGATAACTGGTTCAGAATTATGGCCCTCAAATGCTACCCATTAATACACACGACTGTCTTTGGATTTTACTTGTCCTCGGTACAATTTAGTAGTCTTGGGATTAGAGGGTAAGAGTGAATTGTGAAGGCTCTTGATTGTTTATTGGGTTAACTGTGTACCAGGTTTCCGCTTCACGTCGGTGCGAGGGGACAAGGTGGACATCCTCTACAACAACATCAAGCACGCATTCTTCCAGCCCTGTGACGGGGAGATGATCATCCTGCTGCATTTCCACCTCAAGGTCACTGTCTTAATGAACACAGCATGTCTAGCTTGTCTTGAGACCTGTTTGGACTGGGTTAGAAAAGGTCTTCAACAACCCATGCTTGCTGTAAGAGGCGACTTTGCTTATTGTAAGAGGCGACTAATGGGATCATGTGGTCAGGCTCGCTGACTTGGTTGACGAATGTCATCGTATCCCAATTGCGTGGATCAATGCTTATGATATCAGTCACTGGATTGTCTGGCCCATACTCGATTATTTACAGACCACCATCATATAGCTGGAATATTGCCGAGTGTGGCGTTAAAAGACAAACAAACATTCACCAATTTACTCAGCCTTTGTCTATGGTTAACCAGGAAATGATGACTGAACAAAATTCTAAACTCTAATTGGTCAAAGAAACGATTAGGCTATTTTCCCAGTTTGTCAACCAGTTAATTACTCATCATTCCAGTTCAATGTTGACAGCTTTTTGTACTGATTTGTGACTATTGTATGATCACTTCAACAGCACGCCATCTTGTTCGGGAAGAAGAAGCACATCGATGTTGCGTTTTACACAGAGGTTGGAGAGATCACGACAGACTTGGGAAAACACCAGCACATGCATGACCGAGATGATCTCCATGCGGAACAGGTGAATATTTTGATTGGTTGACTATGTAACGGCTTGCTTCAATTATTTCTCACTCAGTCCTAGTGCTTTTGATATTGCTGGAATATTGCTAAAACCTGCGTAAAACCTCACACTCACTCACTCACTCACTCACTCACTCACTCACTCACTCACTCACTCACTCACTCACTCACTCACTCACTCACTCACTCACTCACTCACTCACTGTTATTGAAGGTTAGTGGAGTAGCCTGGTGAAAGTGTTAGCTCCTCATGTTGAAGGCCTGGGTTTGATTCCCTACATGGGGAGCCATGTGTGAAACTATATTCACTGTTATAGATGTTGAGTATCTGGCCCATCCATGTGGTGTTTACCCTACCCCTGGGTTTATTTAGGTGGCAGGGGAGTCGGGTCGCCTAGTGGTTAAAGCGTTCACTCGTCATGCAGAAGACCTGGGTTCGATTCCTGACATGGGTACAATGTGTGAAGCCCATTTCTGGTTTCCCCCGCCGTGATATTGCTGGAATATTTCTAAAAGTGGCTTAGAACCAAACTCCCTCTCTCATTTAAGTGGTAAATATTTACAGACTGATTCGCTTGGCCTTTCTTCTCACATTAAGCTGATATAAATGAAACCCACCTGTTTCTCACTTGTGGACTTGACATTGCAGGCGGAGAGAGAACTGAGACAGAGGCTCAAGTCAGCCTTCAAGAGTTTCTGTGAAAAGGTGGAGACAATCACGAAACAGGAAGTCGAGTTTGACACACCCTTCCGAGAACTTGGATACCATGGCGCCCCCTTCAGGAGTACAGTTTTACTACAACCCACCAGTGGCTGTCTTGTCAACCTGACGGAATGGGTGAGTCAGAGTTTTAATGGGATTCCAAATTAAGTGTCCTAGCTGGCAAAATGGGAAAATTCATTGTTCAAAATTATTATTAATTTTTTTCAAGTTCTTTTTTTCCTAATTTCAGAGGTATTTCAACATTGCATTTTAACAACACATTCAATGAAATAATGTTAAACTGAGCTTTAAAGCCCGTTCCTTTATTGGTATTATTGTCTGTGAAATACAAATCACCTTACAAAGCTAGACTAACATCTAGTCTCTGAAATGAAAATATCATACAGAAAAAACAGTTGTTCAATTATCTTAATAACAATATAATAAAAGGCAGCCCAGAGACTCTCTTCATTTTCAGATACTGCAGTAATCTAGACTTGCCAAACATTATAGACTTGCATGGGCTGTATTTGATATATATTTGTATCAGGCTCTGTAAGGATAGACTACTTACAAAGCCATAACATTAGTTACAACTATAACAGCATAGATTGGGAAATGTTTAATTCTAATTGGGGAAATTTTGCTAACAGGTCTAGATAAATGGAGAATGTTTCAGACTGATGCTTCTAACATTGTAGATGGCTCCTGGACTGTGTTTAAAATGAAGCTGTGTTCTAGGGTCCTTAATTTCAGCTCCTATAGTATTTGGATCTGGGAAATCTTTAACTTTTAGCATTCAGGTTATGAGAAAGACATCTTGATTTCCTTTCTAAAATTTGAACACTGGCTGTAGTGTACGGGATGGTCAGACTCAGTGACTTGGCTGAATGCTTGTCATCTTCCCTGATGGAGTGGATTGTTGCTTAGAATAATGATCACTGGTTTGTCTGGTCCAGACCACGTGTTACAAACTGCTGTCATGTACCTGGGATATTGCCGAGAGCGATATTCAACAACAAAGAAAAAGCTTTGGCCTGCTTTCCTCTTACTTCCTACTTACACACCATGAATACCATTCCAAGCAGCCACCTCTCACTGCCCGTTTCTGTTTCAGCCTCCATTTGTGGTGACCCTAGAGGAGGTGGAACTGGTGCACTTTGAGCGAGTCTCTTTCCAGTTGAAGAACTTCGACATGGTGTTCGTGTTCAAGGACTACAGTCGCAAGGCTTCCATGATCAACTCCATCCCCATGAACATGCTCGACCACGTCAAGGAGTGGCTCAAGTGAGGACCAGAACCACACCTGGATAGGGCTTAAAAAATAAAAGAATTGGTTCTCAGGCAATGGCTTTTGAAAATATAGTGTGAGCGGCGGTGTTTTTTGTTGTTCAAACTGGTATGTAACAACAACAAAAAAGTTTGTGTACAATCAACCTGGGAAAGGGCCTCCCTACATAAATGAATTCCGTGATGAGTAAAATACTGGAATACAGTATTTGACTACCGTTGGACTTGGAATATTTAAGGGTTTTGTTTTTGTTTTTCAAAAATGGAAATAAGAATGAAACATGTGGTGACCTTTATGATGATGCGGGCAGTGCCTGAGAACCAAGACTATTATTAATTTTTTTGCCTAGGATATTTTTTTATTCTTAATCCTACAATGAAAGCTGAAATTCTTCAAACGAATCTCTCGATCAATGCAGAAAAATTTGACTACAAGAGAGGAAAGTTTGCTGAAGTCTAGAATGCACAAATTTCATTTGGTAATCGAAATCTGTGAACGCCAGACTATACATGAGATAATCCTGTGTCGACATTGTCTGCAGTTCCTGTGATATCTGCTACACTGAGGGTGTTCAGAGTTTGAACTGGGGAAAGATCATGAAGACAATCACCGACGACCCGGAGGGATTCTTTGATAATGGTGGCTGGAGCTTCTTGGGACCAGACAGTGATGTGAGTTCTTCTGTTTTTTATCATTCCCCAAAACTGCTTGTTGTAAGTGTCAACTATATAGGATTATTTAGTCAAGCTAGAGCGCTTGTCACTGGATAGTTGTTAGTTATCTAGACTTGACTCTTTACAGTCTGCAGTGATATAGCTGGAATATTGCTCACTCACTCCCAATCCGGTTGATCTGACTTCTCCATCCTCAACACCAACCCATCATTGTTAACTGCCAAGTGTTCTTTGAGATGGGTGTGTTCTGATGTAGGTTGAATGTGTTGTGTAGGCTGAGGCAGACGATGATGACGATGATGAAGAAGATGAGCACTACCAGCCAAGTGGGAATGAGACTGAAGTTGAAAGCAGTGACGACTACAGCGAGGAGAGTGACTGGAGCGGGGAGGATGATACGGGTATGGCCATCAAGTGTAGAGATGTTGGGAGCTCCAGATGATGGTGTAGGGAGCTCTAGGGGTGATGTTGGGAGCTCTTAGGGTGATGTTGGGAGCTCTAGGGGTGATGTAGGGAGCACTAGATGGTGGTGTAGGGAGCTCCAGGTGGTGGTGTAGGGAGCTCTAGGGGTGATGTAGGGAGCTCTAGGGGTGATGTTGGGAGCTCTTAGGGTGATGTAGGGAGCTCTAGGGGTGATGTTGGGAGCACCAGATGGTGTAGGGAGCTCTAGGGGTGATGTTGGCAGCTCCAGTTGATAGTGTAGGGTGCTCTAGGAGTGATGTAGTGAGCACCAGATGGTGGTGTAGGGAGCTCTAGGTTGTGATGTTGGGAGTTCTAGAGGTGATGTAGGGAGCTCCAGATGGTGGTGTAGGGAGCTCTTAGGGTGATGTAGGGAGCTCTCGTTTAAAAGTGTCAACCACAAGCTGCTCTGGGGAGCTCTATTGGTACCTATGTAGAATGTAGGTAGCTCGCTATTTATCTGTGTCTGTTCTTTTTCTCTGTATAGCCATCTGTCTATTTAACAGTGGTATGCATAAGTACATATAGTGTCTTGTATTTACATCTGTTACTTATATTACATCTCGAATTACAGAAGAGGAAGAACTGGGTTCGAGTGAGGAGAGTGGCAAAGACTGGGATGAACTTGAAGAAGAAGCCAGAAAAGGTCAGTCCACTTGTCAAAAAAGGGAGGAAGACAGCTAGAGTTTATGTTTTGCCATTCATTGCTGTGAACCACCTCTCATGCAGTGAATCGTTTGTCTGCTCGGAGTTGGGAAAGTCAGTGGTACAATCCCCCAGCTGCGTCTCACCAAGAGACATTTAAAGATCTTGCTTGCTTTTACTCTCCATGGCGCTCATCGTGAGTGAGTGAGTGAGTTGTGTTTAACGCCGCTTTTAACATTATTCCAGTAATATCGCGGCGTGTCAGCTTAATGTGGGAGGAAAGCCCAAAGTGATGTAGGTCTAAGACGTTTATCACTTCGGTGAAACCCACAAGCATGGGTATGGTGCTGACAAACCTAGAAACATAATCAGGGCGAACTGGGATTCGAACCCACAATCATAGGTTTCTGGCGTGTCCATGGGACGCAACTCTGCACAGCGAATCACAGCGCCTTAGACGACTGGGCCTCCCGTGCCCCCGCGCTCATCATGAAGGGAGGACGGGTTGGCTGGCAGTCTGTATGATGTGTCCTAGTGGGGTATCCAAGTGATATTAGGGCCCGACACGAGATCTACCTGCAACAGGCCTGCGGGCAGGTGCTTATCTTGAACAACAGTTAATTGTATCGTTTAACCTTAAATCTATACAGTATTTAGGCTTTCCTCCCAGATCAAGTTTGATATAACTAGAATACTGTTGACAGTGGTGTTAATCCCAATACACTAATGATTTTGTGATCCTGTTCTCATTACAAATATAGCATATAGTTTGATGCTGTTGTCATCACAACTGATTCCTTCATACTGTTCTCATCACAACTGACTCCTTCATACTATTGTTTCAGCTGATGCTGGTATTGAGGAGGTGGTGGTGGACCCCAGACACAGTCACCCTAGCAAGCACCGGGATAAGGACCGTGGACGAGATCGGGACCGAGGACGAGATCGGGACCGAGGTGGAAAGGATCGGGACCGAGGTGGAAGGGATCGCCATCATAAGAGTAGCAGCAAGAGCAGTCACCGAGACGATGATAGGAAACGAAAACGGCAATCAAGTGACAGGGGTGATGACCAGAAGAGGAAGAAGAAGAGGTGAAGGATGAATGAGGATTTCATCTCCAAGATGATTTGTTTTGTAATTAAAAGAGACGATTGACTGGGAGGTAAGGGATGATTGCTTCGACAGAGGGTCGTCTTTTGTAGTCAGAGGGCAGAACCTAAACATGTCTATTATGTACTCCGTGACTGTTCTTGATCTTGTCCATTACATAGTGTATTAAATCATGACAAATTGTGCTGTAGAAAAAACATACTACAATGTGATTGTACATTTGAAGCTTACATGATTGATATTGAAAGGGGAGGATTACTGAAGAAATAGTTGAGGATTACTGAACTTCTCTCACCTTGATTACCTTCTAAATATAAAAACTAGTAAAATATTTTAAAGGACTTAAGTCAGCCAACCAATATCTACCAACTTGTATTAGACTTGATGTCAGCATCGCACATCATGGCATCAGTAGAATCACCCACACATCATAATAGCCTTCATTATCATTTTCTGCGTAGTGTTTCCGAGGACCACTTTTTATATCTTGTAAAGGTTTTACAGTTTTAGTGCTCAGATCAAAGTTCTGTGACCGGTGAAACAGGGCTGTAACGATACATTTTGTGTGACATAATATGTATCCCTCGTGTGATAGGACGTGCATCATTTGTGTGGTACGGCACGTATCATTTGTATGACATGTATGCCGATGTTAAGATTGCAGTACAATACTTGAAAACCCGATACTCGCCATGTTGGGAACTCCAAGACTATTGACCCAAATCAAACATTTAGTAAACTAATTGAATCGTCTTAACAATGGTATGGGAGCTCGTGCACATGTGAGGGAAGAGTGTACCACAATTCATTGACATACGTAACATACTCGCTATATTAATCTTTTGTATCAATACATGACTAACAGATCGTATCAAGTGTGCTTTGTGACACAAATCTCGGGTAGCTTGTTACAGCCCTAGTTACAGCCCTAGTTACATTCGTTACCTGCATATGTAAATACTCAGCTCACTGATGGATGCCAACGTGTAGATATGCTTCAAGATTGCAGGTTTGTGACAACGGTTTCCATCTGACCCTGTAGTGTGTGGCTCACACAACTTATAAAACCATGTCAAGTTCTGCAACATGTATCTGTGCTGTCAACCTGTCACAATAAAACTGTTCCCAAATCAAATCTGTATCACTTGTTCTTGAAATTTAACCATACCAGAAAGATTGCAGAGCAAAAACCTCGAGCTGACCCCATCACTCAGGATCAAGTTAATGCTGTTTGGCCAGTCAAAATGGTCGGGGGCTGTTATTATTTGCAGACCAGGTACCAACTGACTATTCTGAAGTGTTCATCCAGTAGTGGGAAGTTCGGGTAGCCTAGGGGTTAAAGCGTTCGCAATTCCCGACATGTAAAGCCTATTTCTCATCCAGTAGTTTATTGAAACGGAAAAACAAACATACAGTATTCGATGTAATTAGCGCCCAGGGCGCTCTCAAAATTAGGCATAGGGGGCTCTTATTAGAATATTATTTTGGTGAAAAAAACAGTTGAAACATAATGTTTTATGTACGACAGATATATTTTACCAGAATTAAATTGCCCATCATTAAGGGTGCATATAACACACGAGTGTGTATCATATGCGAATAAAAAAATCTGGTGTACATTGATCAGTTGGAAGGGGTGCTAATTGGGATTGTTTACTTGCCAATATATTAACAAATATCGCCCTGGGCGCTTATTACATCGAATATGGTAATTGAAATCTCCTGTGGGTATGCTGTTGGATGTAAGGGGTGAGAAACACTCCCAATATTACATTACTGTAAATCTTGAAATTAAAGCGCCGGAATTGACGAGCGTGAATTAAATGAGAAAAATGCGAGTGGTACATCGCATTTATGTCAACAATAAGACATTTTGGATAGCAGAAATACTAACTTAGACATATGCTGAAAACAAACAATTATGTATTCCACATCACTGTTTATTGAGCAGCACTTGTAATGATTGTAAGTATATAAACAATGTAATCCAAACACGAATTACATCCTGAGAATTGTCACTGCTGGGGTCAAGACGAGTTCTACTCACTTATGTCATCACTGATCACACCTGCAAGTCCAGACAGATACCACCCATGCAACACAGCATCTTTGTTCTTTGCAACTGCATCAAAGGCCGACACAATCCAGCTCGCTGTATTGTTTTAGCGGAAGTAGCTTACTCAGCGGTGCTATTTTATGTGTGATTGGATTAATGTGAGGATTCTTCTGATTGTGCAAACCTGACAGGACATTTCTTTATATATAAATCCACTGATGCTTGAGAGGAGGGGAGTGTCGCATTTTTGGCTAAGGGCCAGCGGTTGCATTCTTTTGGAGAAGCATTAATTTCACGATTTACAGTATATTATAGCTTGTATTCATTCTAAATGGATCATGTGGACGGACTCGTGACTTGTATGTTGCTGTGATGGAATGTTGCTCACAGTAACAAGGACTGGTTTGTCTGGTCCAGACCTCGATTTGATGCGTGTGACGTCGAAGCACAATTAGGCATATCGCTGGACATGAGGGCAGGATGTTGTGCACAGTTCTGGCAGTCAGTATATGGTCTCAACCAAGAAATTGTTTGGCAGTTTTTTTATCAATTCTGAAGATGCAATCAATCAAATATGGTGACGACCATCCTGTGCCCAGTCATGAATATTCCCCTGCTCTTAATATCACTCAAGTGATAATTGTGTTTTGATGAACCTCATTTTGTGCTATTCCTGTTTGCAGCATACCCATGAAGATGATTTTCAGCAAACTAAGGCATTGCATAAGCATTATTTAGGGTTAGACAATAGTGATGTGAGCACTTGATAGCTGTTCATTTTCAAAAACCATGTATCACGCTCCCAACAAACATCCAAATTGTATACTTTGCATGAATGTGCACTTGAAACTTGTGAATCATTGAAAGATATCATTTCATTTTTTTGGGGGAAAGCAGTTACTTTTGCCCGAAACACCTGTCCGAAGCAGTTTAATTTAGAAAATATGGAGACTAGGTAGATATATTTTCAAATGTGATTGTCAAAAATCACTCAGCTTGTGTTCATCTTAATATTTTTTAAACCTAAGTGCTATTCGGTTTCAGAGATGTTTAAAATTACACAAAAGTCAGGTGAGCTAAATATGTGGTGTCTACTTTCATGTCTTCAAATTTGATGCAACCATTTGTTCAACTTTTGTGAAAGGCCAACCAATCCTTCCTTCTGACCATGGGCCCCTTTCAACAGAGCCATGGGTTTCAGGTCCTGCAGTTGCAAGTTGAATACATGTCATGTACGGCCATAATGGATTTATACAGCTTGAAAGTTGCTGGAATATGGGTAGGGTCATCTGCTTCCTTTGCATATAGTTTTTTGGCAATAATTAGGTATGATTGTTTCCAGTAAGTCTAGACATTTTGCAATGTTCTTACACTTCAACAATAAAAAGACAAAGTCTAAACAAAGGGAAATAATTTAATTACAAATTCATATTTTTTTTGCATATTTTGTCATCCCAAAACTCAATTTTTCCAAAATTTAATTATATTTTCTTTTGACATTTATTTGGTTACATGAGGCACGAGGTCCATTCACAGAAGTAAAATGTCTTGGCCCGTTGTGCCGCTAAGCAGCGAGCGTCACAGGGTCAAAGGTTGAAGATTAGAAGATTGTACAGCATGGTGACAGAGCATAAGAATTTAGATAGAAAGAACAGATACAAATACATCTTCACATTTACCCTGTGACAACGTTGAGGGTCCACATATACATTGTTTTAAGATAATGGGAATAAGAGTTACCTCCCTTGATCAAGGGTGTTTGTTCTGGGTTGTGAGTCAAATGAATACATGTGTACAAGAGAAAAACATATATATTTGAAACTACATGCAGACATTGGAGATCAGTGTCTGATAAACATTAAACATCACAATATAAGGCTCTCAGGAATCCCTTCCGTCTTCAAAGGGACTTCTGTAATGCATGTATATACAAACTTATTGCAATGTGATGACGCACATGAAGTATCCCGAGTGCGGCAGCACCGACTGCACCTCATGACATGATTGTAGGATGCTAAAATACATACAAAGTTCTACTTCATCCAGTACAGTGCACTGCACTAAATACATCTGGGAGAAAGAACATACTTGGGATATCAGAATGTTCAAACATTAATTAGAAACATGACGAGAAAGATACTCGGATATGCAAGTTGAGTTCAGTTAGCAGTCATATTATCACAAACAAATGATTGGAAAAAAATAATTATATAAAATAACGATAAGACAGCTTCAGGAAGTATTGAACAGTATCACATTCCTAGCTAAAGTTCAGTTCGGTTCATCCATATAGTTAAGTAATTCATCTCGGCTGATCCCCAATTATGAGAATGGCACATCATGATGGTCCCGAGTAATCCACCTCAAGTTGGGTATGTACAGATTTGTGGCAGGTGGCCACGCCCCCAGCCTGTCCATCAGGTTCACATCTCGAGGTGAACAGCCTGGTGAGTTGTGTGGTCCCAGGACGTGGCTGTATCTACATGAGGCTGGGGTGGGTGTGCTACATGAGGCTGGGGTGGGTGTGCTACATTAGGCTGGGGTGGGTGTGCTACACACAGCAGTCTAGGTAGGAATGGGATCAGGACTGGGAGGTTCCACTGCAAGTTGATGATGATGATGAGGAGGAGGATGATGAGGAGGAAGTTGTCTGAGGCAGTGTTGCATTTTGTTTGATCCAGGCGTGGTTTATCACTTCTCCCAGGGGCAGCCGATTGGCTGGGTTGTGTCGGAGCAGCTGAAGCAGAAATAGTCCCATGTTAATAGTTCGAACCAAGTGGAATAGGTAGTCCATGAATAAGCATTAAACTGTTAAGGAGTCCTCACATGACCATACCCCTATGTCTATCATTAGCACATGTTAATACAAGGGAGCTACAACAATCCCAGCACCATGATCTGTTAATGGACTTGGGCTCTATTACATTGAATTCTGTAGTTGAATCTAGCCTTACCTTACTCATACTAGGATAATCATACAAGATCAACACTACCAGCTCCTTCATAGAGAACTGAGACATAACAGCCCCTATTTATTAAAATATACAATACAGCTACCAGAAGTAATACATATTCTATAAAAGTTTACAAGTGTCATTCAAACTTAATACATAGCACTGTCTTCCCAATTTCTCTTTAAATCACTGCCAAGTTTACACTCCATTTATGTGATTATCATGAGTAATTTTCATGAAACCGTCACATGAGAAAATGAGAAAAGTACTCTTCTCCACCATCCCCTTCACATCTGGAGAAAATCCATTAAAACAGAAATCCTTACAGATATCCTATCTCCAACCACACAACTATTCACCTTTGCTATCAAATCCCTGGCTCCTAAAGACATGTACTCTGGGAACTGGAGATCAACTTTAGTGATTCTTCGATATGTCTCTGTGTGTCCTTCAGCCTCAAAAGGTGGCTTGCCAACCAGAAACTCGTAGCAGAGCACCCCAAGACTCCACAAGTCTACCTTCTCGTCATGCATCCGGCCCTCCACCATCTCCGGTGGAAGGTAGTCAAGAGTGCCGCATAGCGTAGTTCGTCTGAAAAATATTATATTACACATTAATAATAACACCATGAATCCCATCACGAAATCAATATAATTGATCAAATCACACGGCACAACACAATTAACATCGCTGTCATAACACACAGCACACATCACACATTCAATGCACATTCAATTCCCAACACACATCATACACAACCATTAATAAACTATATTTATGGCAACATTACCTGGAGGACGGGGTTGTGGCAACACTACCTGGAGGATGGGGCTGTGGCAACACTACCTGGAGGATGGGGCTGTGGCAACATTACCTGGAGGATGGGGCTGTGGCAACATTACCTGTAGGTTTGGGCTGTGGCAACATTACCTAGGAGATGGGGCTGTGGCAACATTACCTGGAGGATGGGGCTGTGGCAACATTACCTGGAGGATGGGGCTGTGGCAACATTACCTGGAGGATGGGGCTGTGGCAACACTACCTGGAGGATGGGGATGTGGTGACACTACCTGGAGGATGGGGCTGTGGTGACACTACCTGGAGGATGGGGCTGTGGCGACACTACCTGGAGGATGGGGCTGTGGCAACACTACCTGGAGGATGGGGCTGTGGCAACACTACCTGGAGGATGGGGCTGTGGCAACACTACCTGGAGGATGGGGCTGTGGCAACACTACCTGGAGGATGGGGCTGTGGCAACACTACCTGGAGGATGGGGCTGTGGCAACACTACCTGGAGGATGGGGCTGTGGCAACACTACCTGGAGGATGGGGCTGTGGCAACACTACCTGGAGGATGGGGCTGTGGCAACACTACCTGGAGGATGGGGCTGTGGCAACATTACCTGTAGGTTTGGGCTGTGGCAACATTACCTGGGAGATGGGGCTGTGGCAACATTACCTGGAGGATGGGGCTGTGGCAACACTACCTGGAGGATGGGGCTGTGGCAACACTACCTGGAGGATGGGGCTGTGGCAACACTACCTGGAGGATGGGGCTGTGGCAACATTACCTGTAGGTTGGGGCTGTGGCAACACTACCTGGACTATGGGGCACTGGCAACATTACCTGGAGGACGGGGCTGTGGCAACATTACCTGGAGGATCGGGCTGTGGCAACATTACCTGTAGGTTGGGGTTGTGGCAACACTACCTGGACTATGGGGCACTGGCAACATTACCTGGAGGACGGGGCTGTGGCAACATTACCTGGAGGATGGGGCATGCACAGACCAGCCGAAGTCAGCAATCTTCAGGTCTCCTCTCAGGCCAAGAAGGAGATTTTCGGGTTTTATGTCACGATGGATAACTTTACGGCTGTGACAGTAAATGAGGGCATTGGCCAGCTGGCCGATATACTGAAACACAAGCACGATAATCATAATAGCAAATAGATAGGGTCTTACAGTGTTTGAAATCAAATATCAAGTTAAATTATTTACAAAAAGGATAAAAACAATCTCAATAAAAACATATCTCTAAACAAAGATCTGAGAACATCCCATTACGGGTCACATCAGAATGATCTTTCATCCGACCAATCAGAGCGTCGTTTTTTTTAGATCAGTTGGAATGTGATTTCTAATCATGTAATCTCGCAAATGTTAACGTGTGGTATTCTGAACACCAGTTACGGCCTGTACGGCCTCTATCGCTTCAATGGGATCAACATATAACGGAATAGACGTTGTAAAGCCTTGAAAAATACTGCCATACGATCTTAACCATATAATAGTCATTCCAGAATGTCCTTTTGTTCATGTTTTACAAATTTAATCGAGAACTTTGTTAACATATTTTTCAAGCATAGTCTGTAAAGGCAGTTGACAGTTTGAAATTAGTGTTGGAAAGCTCAAGAATGCTGCTTTCTGATTGGCTACTGTCGACTGCTTGTTAGTAATTTCATTGGTCGGTCAAAGTTCGCAAAAGGTCATTCTGACATGAACCGTAATGGGATGTTCTCAGGTAGCGAGAACTAAGATATGATGTTAATGAGATTGAGGGAAACACAAACAGCATAACCTCCAAGCACTCTGACCAATTCCAATTTTAAATACATGTTGACTATTCTCAATCTTGCATAACACACCCACAAAGTGAGAAGTGTGCCTTTAGAATTTCCTGCATAATGTTGTCATGACAGTAATAGAGCAAAAACTGAAAAAGAGTTATCTTAATTTTCTAATAATGTACATAATTGGTCAAACACACTTCCTCTCTACCATACATCAAAAGACACAAAATGTGACAAAACTCAGCAGGTTTCTTCTGGGTTTATTACCAGTAACATGTAATAACCTGAAATATTTAACTCATAACCCCTTCATATTGCTCCGTATTAATAAAAGTACTGTAGCCAAGAGCTTTGTATCACTGGTGCCACTACAGATGTGGCATCTCCTTTGGCAAGTGTCTTCGTTCGAAATGTGCCTCTGTTCACCAAGCAATGAATGGGTACCCGGTAGGATGAGATGGGAATGTGGTTGTTAACCTTCTAGCGATAACTGGCAGCTTGGGTTGTATACTTCCCAGGGAGTTAAGAATGAGAGTGCACACTGATCCAGTGACTGGGGTAATAATAGCCCTTTGAGCATGCCCCTGAGTGGTGTGGAAATATGGGCAATATAAATAGCCTATTATTTATTACTCACAGTGGCTGATCGCTGTTCATCAAATCTCTTGGCCCTCTGCAGCTCCTTGTACAGTTCCCCCCGTGGGGCGTACTCCAGAATGAGGTAGACCCGGGTCTTGTCGTGGAAGTAGCCGTACAGCCGCAGGATGTGAGGGTGTCTGTGGGTACCAGGTAGGGTGTGAATCAATAACAGCTTATCTCACAGTAACAAATATCACAGCTTTAATTTGTTGTTTAACAATATTCCAGCTATATGACAGCGGCCTGTAAATAATTGAATGTGATCAATGATCCACATCATCGGGGTATGATGACACACATTCAACCAAGTCACAGAGCATCAGCAACCGATTCATTTGGTCGCCTCTTACGTCCAGCATAAGTTGTTGGGGACTTGTAATAATCTGATTGGTTGGTTGGTTTGTTGTTTAACGCCACACTCAGCAATATTCCAGCTATATGACGGCGGTCTGTAAATAATCGAGTCTGGACCAGACAATCCAGTGATTAATATCATGAGCATCGATCCACGCATTTGGGATCGATGTCATGCATTAACCAAGTCAGTGAGCCTGACCACCCGATCCCGTTAGTCGCCTTTTACGACAAGCAAAGTCACCTTTTACGGCAAGCATGGGTTGCTGAAGACCTATTCTACCCCGGAATCTTCACGGGTCTGTAATAATCTGAAATCCCTACAGGAGGTGTTAATTTGTAAAACAATCATGTCTGGACAAGACATGTCGGTGGCTAAACGGACATCGTAAGAATAGACCCATGCTGCTAGCAGGTCACAGCTGACAAAACTATTAGCTGATGACATACGTTGTAAACCCTGTTCATTGATAATCACTGATGATCCTACCTGAGATGTGACTGAATCTCGATCTCACGTCGCAGCTGATGTTCTACCTGAGCCTTCTGCAACTGGGACTTGAACAACACCTGACAGACAAATATGCAGCATTACTATCACCAGGCAACAATGATGGCAATATTGTTCTAGAAATATAACACTCCTAGTGAGAATATTCAAAAGAGGTGAAAGCGGATTTTTGCACTTACCGTATTCGACGTAATAAGCGCCCAGGGCGCTCTCAAAATTAGAAATAGCTGGCTCTTATTAAAATATTATTTTGGTTGAAAAAAAACCAGAGTTGAAAGATAAACTTCGTGTTCATGTACGACAGATATATTTTTCCAGAATTTAATTGCCCATAATTAAGGTTGCATATAACACACGAGTGCGTATCATACGCGAATAAATAAGTCTTGTGAATATTGATCATCCGGAAGGGGTGCTAATAGGGATTGTTCACTAGCCAATATATTCGCAAATATCGCCGTGGGCGCTTATTAGAGCGGGGCGCTTATTACGTCGAATACGGTATATATAGTGATGTCAATGCATATGTGGCTGTTTGTACTAATCGAGACTGATGCTGGTTTTAAAGTGTTAGCCCAATGAGATACTATGACGTAGTTTAATACAGATACCCCACTTGGACACAAAATACTGATTTAGTGCCAACCAGTTTTATCCCTAAATGCTGAGCACCAGACATCTTTTGGTATGACGCAGCCAGGGATCGAACCAACGACCTCCCGCTCTCTGGGAAGTAGCAACATCCATTAAACCATGGTGGCAGTCGACATTTAAAAGAAATAGGAGTGTAACCAAGAATTGAAGGTTTATATTAATTTAGAATACTTACAGGTTTTTTTTACAAGAAATGCTGATAGTATTAAAGAAGAAATCAAAATGAATTAGAACCTATACTTATTGACTTCCCAACACATTCTCAGCCAAAAACACAAAATTTGAAGAAACATTTATTCATAAATGATAATTCATACAACAGCCGGAGCTACAACTTTCTTAGCATTGGACTGCATTGTGTTTGACATCAAGCCAAATAATGCGAGGAAACGTACATTTTGAAAGGTAAAGGTTTTCATCATACTGTCAGAATACTATGGCAATTCTCACTGATTATGGTGATATATCAGAGATATGCTCATGGTTGGAAATTGCTTGTATTTTAGTTCCAATGGTATGATTAAACATCACAAATTCATGGTTAAAATAGGTTCCTGGTTCCTGGTGACCACACTTACAAATTACATTTGATTGAAAACAATACCTTGTGACAATGTTTATCATATGACCCCATAAATAAACACATGGGAAACACCTGAACATGCTTAACACTCAGTATGATTCACAAACGTTTACGAATAAATGAAAGACAATTGACGCAGTACAAATTAACCTCAGCTCCATTAAACATCTGTTTTCTATCAATTTTCAATTTGTTTTAATTCTTAACAATGGCAGATTAAAAAATGTTTACTTGTAGCAGTTGGGTCATGTGTGGTTTAATGTGTCCCCCATTACGTCTTATATCGCTCACATCCTGCATGTGGCTTCCAACTTAATGCAGGACACATAAAACCACATACACCCCGAGTGATACTGCTTCAGCTTATATTAAAATTAGTATCTAGCCTTGGTGAAATGACATTCACTGAGTTTGATGAGGGATCAAAATTATGCTTCTAGTTGGCACACTAGAGCACCTCTATACATCTTAAAAAGTGCCCTTGTGGCATACTTGAATGTTTTTCTAAATACATGTAATTCTTTCCTAGATGCTGAAGGCACTAATAACAGAAACTATATGTGGCAAACATTCACACATACATACAACCAGACATAACTTACTTTCAGTGCCACAATGTATTTGCTTTTCTTCTCTCTGGCCAGATACACATTGCCAAACTTGCCCTTTCCCAGTGGCTTGCCTATATCAAAATCCTCCAGTGACCATTTCCGTCTGAAACACAAACACCACACCATAGTATAATACTAATGTTTGTGCTGGGTGTTGAAGGATGAATATTTAGAGTAACTGCACTTGTAGAGTGATTTGAGTTGAAATGGGGGTTCAAGATTATTTTGTGTGTTTGTGTTTGTTTGTGTGTGTGTGTGCACTAATTCGGATTGATGCTGATTTTATGGTGCTAGCACACTGACATACCACGCCGCAGTTTAACATGAATACCCCAGTCAGACACAGTATACTGACTGAGCCGGCCTATCCTTGTTTTAGTCCCTTAGTGCCTAGTGCCAGGCAGGGTAACAACAAGTACCATATTTTAACGTCTCTTGGTATGATGCGGCTTGGGATCGAACCCCGGACCTTGCGCTCTCAGGGGTGGGTGGGTGGACGCTCTACCACTAGACCATGGAGGCGGTCGCAATTGTACAGTGAACATTTGTTCTTTATGCAGTATCCAAATACTATGGGTGTGATACAATTCGCATCATGATATGGTACTTATTTCAAAAATAGATATTCTTTCAGTTGGCAGGTGATCACAACTCTGAATCAATTGTTTCTAAATTTAAGAGAACAAAGACGGGATATTGTAGGGCAGAAACATATACCTATAGGCTAGAGACAAGAACACAGTGAATGTTATGCTATTTAAAGCCAGATGGGAAATACTACAGAGTATCTAATGACTATGTAAGCTGGTTGTTGAACAGTTTCTGGGAAATACTACAGAGTATCTATGTAAGCTGGTTGTTGAACAGTTTCTGTTATTATTCACGTTTTCATACCAATATAACCTGTAATGTAATGTAATGTATCGTATGTATCGTGATACAGAGGTTGTAAATGATGTATTGTATTGTGGCCCTCATCTCGGAATACAATACTATATCCCTGTGTCGTTACACTGAACTAAATCTTGCATGTTGTTACTTGTTTATTGTCAATTTTGTAATGTATGTCATTATTTTTGCCAATGTGCAGTGAAATTGACATGGCAAACTCCATTATGTTACGATAAAAATGTGTCACTTCATTAATGGGAGCAAGGGACACTAGCATATTTTGCATTGCTTTCATGTTTGTTTGTTGTTTAACCCCGCACTCAGCAATATTCCAGCCATAATGATATGATGGCGGTCTGTAAATAATCAGGCTGGACCAGGCGGGTGACCGATATCATAAGTATCAACCCACACATTCGGAATACAATGATATGCATCAACCAAGTCAGCAAGCCTGACCACCCGATCCTGTTAGTCGCCTCTTACGACAACATTAATTTCATGAATTACAGTACATCATTAGACATGTCAGACGATCATCTTCATGACTAATCAAATCAACAGTTTATCCAATTATTTTATCAACAGTACAATGTATGAACAAGCATTTCGTCAGACTAAGTACAATGACAAGTGTAAGTCAATGACTGTTTATTTACTTGAGACTGTCCACATCCACGCCATCCGTCATATCGCCTGCCTTCCTCATGACCCCCTCAGCGCCCTCTGTTGACTGGTTGGAGTTCACAGGTTGCAGAACCCGCTTCGCTTCCATACTCCTACACACCTAACTGAAACAAAACAGGGGGTTGGTTTATTATGTTCACACTTCAGTTTGGATGAATTTAAAACCTTGGTACCAAAACTTTCATACAAGAACCAGTTCTGTAACTACAAGCACATCAAGAAAATGTACTTGTCCATATTACCAAGCCTACACTACTACCAGCATTTGAAAAACTTGCCTGTCCATTTCCCTGTGCCCAGTCATATTTTAGGTGAAGTCTATGATCTTACTTGGTCGGTAAAATATTTCCAACACGGTAACCAATTTTGAACCTTTTTCGCCAGTACACTATTCACAGGCGAAACAAAATTCGACGGCATGGTGGCTATTTCCAGCTTAGGTCTCGATGCAATAAATGTCCAGTGTGAAACTGAGACACTGTCTATATAACCAGGTTATTTAGTTAGAATACAGAACAAATGACACCATCCAACATATTGGTATGCAATGTGCATGAGCTCCTTCCTTAGTAACATTTTGTTTGGCTGACTCACGAAAATAACAGGAGGTTGCCCCCCAACATAACTACTTAAAACGAATGATATTTTGTCATTGTTCCAAATGTATCCCCTATGGATGTCAGGTAGGTACCTAGGCAATTACCGTATTCGACGCAATAAGCGCCCAGGGCGCTCTCAAAATTAGAAATAGGGGGCTCTTATTAGAATATCATTTTGAGTTGAAAGATGGTAAATTTCGTGGTTTATGCCGACAGCCTGAAATGTTTATATACGACAGATATATTTTTCCAGAATTTAATTGCCCATAATTAAGGGTGCATATAACATACGAGTGCGTATTATACACACATAAATAAGTCTTGTGTACATTAATCAATTGGAAGGGGTGCTAATTGAGATTGTTCACTAGCCAATATATTAGCAAATATCGTCGTGGGCGCTTATTAGAGCAGGGCGCTTATTACGTCGAATACGGTATGGAATTTCTATTTCTGAGCAACCTTGGACTAGAGACATTCCTATATTGGTGTTCAAATTTTGATGGTTATTAATTGCTTTGACTTTCAATTTTGAGGTGACATGTTTTCTGCTTATTTCCAGTTTCATTGCCCATTTTCAAAATAGTCATGGCGTTGTGTACTTGCTTCAAACAAAAGACACCATTGACAGGTATCTGATATTCTATAGGTGTACCAGGTATTTAGTGACTGCTCGACTGATCTACATCTTTAAAATTTTCTTTTTCAAACTTTCAAACACAGTGATGTTAGAGTAATCTCCCAAATATTGTCAGAACCTGGTCCCATTTTAATAAGTCTTAAACAAGTCATGAAAACAATGTGAAACAACAACAGATCACTGACAACCAATTTAGGTCATATTCCAAGTATCAACAGACATATGTATCTTGTGAGCAGTCCATCAAAATCTTGATATAGTCAGATCTTTATTCAGTACAGTACAGGCCACAGGCCCTTTGTACAAAATGTATGGCATATTTATGGCAACAGTCACAATGATAAAATATGTGTTCTCTCTTCTTTACTGTGATACAGATATTTAGCGATATTAATAATCAGCTTTGAGTTGGTTGTAGATAAAAGAATATTTAACTTATGGACATTTGGGTGTAAATAATATTTTGAAGGAATATAGAGATGGCGTAGGTGAGTGTATGCAGGGCACACTAGCAGGAAATGAAACTCGTATGGAACTATAGTAAACAATTTGTTAAGATTTAACCATGTTGAATATTGAAAGATTTCCACCAGTAACACCTGCTTCAAATTTTGCCTGTGTGAGGAAGTGGAATATAAGTTTTAATAATATTTTCCTTATTCTGTTTCCGCACAAACTAAGATTCAAATTTCGGTTGTTATTGCCTGGCCGAGTTTTTGGGATAAAACACCCATCACCAAGCACGCCGCTTGATTTATTTTCTGCCTCAAGATATTCCAAGTAAGCATTTCAATAATCACTATATTTCTTCCTCTGCTAAATAATGATGTGTTGGGACCTTGTACATAGGTATTTTACATTGTTGCAGGATAGTTTAGTGTTTATTATAAAGTTAGACTTTTGGGTACCGCAAGGTCAATTTTCCCGCCTTACGTTAGCGGTATTTGTATGTTTACAAGTTGATTGATAATGGCAAACACTGTAAGATACTGTTTCTGTGTTGTTATTGGTATAAGTAGATATCAGCACAAGTTAACTGCACCATGTAAGACATAAGACTGACCAGTGTACTGCTGTGTTGCCGGTAAATGAGGCACACAGCTATGTATATCGAGTAGATGACACCTCATGCGTGATGTTTAGCTGGCACGATTAGAGTTAAATGTCTATAGCAAGATGGCATTTAATTTTCGTGACTGAATGTTGATGTATATTATCAGATAGCATCCTTCAGTCAGTATATCTCTAGTCATGGTAGTATTGTCGGGTATTTTATGGAAGTTATAGGCCTAAACTTTCATGTAGATGAATATCAGTAGATGCTAAGGCATTATCTAATTGTTTTTTTGTGCTTTCAGGTTTTCTTGTCAGAGGCAGGCTAGTGAACTGCCACCCTTATCTAACCCTGTAATTCACATATTCTTATAAGTAATTCTACTAATAAACAGACATTAAATTCAAGTGATGTGTGTTGTGACTATAAGGTGGACCTGGCTACACCTGGGTTATGTCAACCTAACCTTACAAGACATATAATACTTCCAGCCAGAGGTTATGATATTTTTAAATTTACAGACAGGTGGGAATTTTACTAATATTGATAGGCATACTGATACATTTCAAAATCAACCAATGCATTTTTTACGTTGGTGCTCGAAAATAGCTTTCTTGCGTATACTTGTTTCCTTTTCCATACATTCACATAGACTCAATTAACAAAACCTGAACCTATCTAGTGTAACTCTTCATGTAATATTTACTAAACAACACCGATATTTAGATTTGATTGCTGTGATCTCCATCATAGGATTAGTTCACGGTACTCGGGAACTTGATGGAAGGTCCACCTAAACATTATTTTGCATCATGTCTAGTGAAAAGTTCAGGGAAGTTTTCAGTGAAAAAACAAATCAGTTTCAGAGTTATAACTGATGAATTAAACAGAAGATGATATCAGGCCATTGTATATGTATTTTAAAACGTCTATACGTATTACCTTAACACGACTTGAAGAAGAAATACAACAAATACTCTCTGTCCAGAAAGAATGGCAGCCCTGGTTTGAAATTCGTATCACCGCTAATGATTGGAGTGAGTACTTGGAGTACTGCATATGTAACAAGCAATACGATTGGTCGAAAGAGGAGGGGCGATAACTCTTTCATCTGTATGCGTGAGGGGTGGATAAGGCGGTAACATGACTATGAGGCCATATGTATACGAGGGCATTGTCACATTCAACAAAACAATTAGCATTGCTTGACAATGGTATAAGGATATATATCGAAACGTCGCCTTTGCAGTAAATAAAGATGTTGTTATCCATCAATTATCTCTACTTTAACTAACCGATAGTATATGAACACGTACTGGTCGAACAATATAGCTAGGTACGTACATCATGACATGTGGAGAGCTCGGATAGAGACAGCTTTGATGGAACAATGTCGGATACCCGGGCGAAGTTCTATATTCATGAAATATCTATTTAGAAAATGTGATTTGTGCACATTTCTGCTCAGTAAGGATTTTCACACTGCTAGAAATGCGGTATATTCCGAATACTTGACAATTTACGTTTAGAATTTAAATTATATGTAAAACAAATCAAAACATATCATTTCATAATATATGGAATAAAGAAGCAGCTCTTATTTAATTGATAGTCATATAAGTTCAGTTGTTGGGGACTGCTTTTGTTTGGACGTCCGCATATAAGCACCTGGTTGGCATACGCAGTAATAGATCTATTGGTCCAGATTATTTTGTTGTTTACATAGGCGACTAAGTATGCAATGTTTACTTGTGTAATTATTTGAATCTCTAGTGGCACTTTTTGTTTGAAAACTCGTACACAACGAGACCTGTACTCCAAATTGGGCTTACCTATTTCACATTTCTTTCCGTGCATTAATTTATTAAGTTATTGTTGACTCATCAGTCAGCACGACTACCGTACGTAATTCAAGTCAACTCGTGCACAATGCAATTTGATAACACAATATTGGTTTACACCAAAGTTTAGCGTTAGACACCCATAGGGTTATATCGTCACGATATGGCTGAACTATTGCCGATGTGACGTTAAACTTTAACTCACTCACTCATAGGGTTATAATTGAATGTTTTAGCCTGAATCATTTCATTCCCCTACAGCACCCCCTCCTTAATGAACTATTACAGTTTTAGTGTCTATCTTTCCTACTTCACATAATAAGATATTACTGAAGTTGCTACCTCACATGCTATGCACTGACAATTTCTTCCTCGTTCACTGGGGATCTTATATACAATGCAGTAATCGACATGTACCTACAGTATATGATCTCCGGTCGAGATAATTAAATTCAACCCATGAATTGTTTGATAGACATTAGAAGACAAAGTAGACACAATGTATGGATAACAACTGCTTTAATTGCTGTAACTTTAAGTTGCGAAATTAAAGAAATTATAAACAGTTTTTACTCAGGGCTCACAGAAGCGCACTTGCCAAATTCCGATGTGGTGTAACACCATTACGTATTGAAACAGGGCGTTATGAAAATGTTTCTTTTAATGAGAGATTGCGTTTTAATTGTAAAAAACTGCGTGGAAGATGAAAAACATGTTTTATTGGAATGTCCTGTATACAGTTCTATACGTCATGACTTGTTTGCTGTTGTAACAGTAAAATCCGCGTTTTTTTTAGATTTACAAAATGACGACCAGTTCCTTACTATTTGGTCCAGCTCATTACTGATCTTTGACGCTTCCAAAGCCTGCCACTGCATCTTAACTTTAAGACGGGGTATTTTAAATAAATAATGTATAGACCTATCTTATATGAATTTTGATTGTTTTAGTGTCTCCCATAAATTGCTAAGCGATTGGTTGTAAATTTGTGTTACAAATGAGACATTAAAAAATATATCTGTCTGTCTGTCGGTTTGTCGTGTAGCAAACAAAAATCTAATGGTGTCAAACTCGCCACGGCGGCCAATCTGCCTAAGCCTCTAGACTCCTAATGTTATCCTATCAATGCGACCTTTGGCTCTGAGATGGAGAATGTTTCAGCGCAAAATATGTACACATTCCTGTGTTTATATATATAGTACACTGCTTCGCTGGGAACACAGAGTTTTTGTTTCTTATGTAGCTTTAAGTAGGTTACGGACACTTCAGTTATCTACATGTATAAACATTTGAATTATGGAGTTCATCACCTTTATTAGTTCAATGCGACGTGTCTTTACAGGCGCTAGAACTTTTGTTAAAACACGTGATCAAGAACTGGGTAGGACATGGTATATAGTTGAGATTATACATATACACAGATATAAACGGAAACAACAAACGCTGACAACTTGTTTGTTTTGTTTGTTTGTTGTTCAACGCCGGGCTCAGCAGTTTTCCAGCTATATGACGGCGGTCTTTAAATAATCGAGTATGGACCAGACTATCCAGTGATAGACATCATGAGCATCGATCCACGCAGTTGGGATACGATGACATGCATCCACCAAGTCAGCGAGCCTGACCACCCGATCACGTTAGTCATCTCTTACGACAAGGATATATATACTTCCACTTGCCATGAATTTTTACTACATTCCACCATGTTAAAATCGCCTCTTACAACAAGCACAGCCGCCTTTTACGGCAAGCATGGCATGGGCGGATACAGAGGGGTGGGTGTGGGGTTGTGCACCCCCCCTTTTATTTCGAAAAAAAATCTTTATTTCTGTATAAATTACCACCAAAGACAATAAAAAGATTTTAATTGTGCACCCCCCTATTTTCAAAAAAGCTGTATCCGCCCATGCATGGGTTGCTGAAAACCTATTCTACCCCGGATCTTCACGGGTCCGATGACAACCAATATTGTTTCACTAGCTGACAACTTGTGATAAGGTATATATGACAGGGGATAAAACCTACGGAACAAGCGTGTAACAAGGCGGCTTTGATTGCGATGTGTAGTTACAGTGTCTGTTATACAATACTGATACATTGCCATTGTAGTTGATAAGGTGATGGTAGGCTGATGGGAAGAAATCAAATTTGTCCACGCATTGTTTATAAACTACCTAGCGGTAAACAATCGAATTTAAAGAATTGTTCTGCGAAGTGAGTGAGTATGGTTTTACGCCGCTTTTAGCAATATTCCAGCAATATCACGTCGGGGGACACCTGAAATGGGCTTCACACGTTGTACCCATCAGTGTGCGAGCTCAGGCTATGTTACCGCTTATAGATGAAAACCAAGCCTCGCTTTCACACAGGTTATAAATAGATTCAATGCTAAAGGCCCCATAGTGACGTCACAGCCCCTGTCACAGGAAGTGAAAAATCCTGGGCTCTACACCTACCTCATATAAACCTTTTATTACAAATCCTATATGTACATGTAATGTTTTCATATATTTCCCATTTCCACATATGTCAATTACCAAAATAATACCTAAATATAACCCATCCATGCACTGTAGTGGCTGTGAGAACATGTTTATTGAAGTCACGTGACCTCAAAATATTCTCTCACAGGGTAGAAGTCATTCACAAAAATATGGGTTCCATCTATCTTAAAGGGAGGAGGGGCCAATTCCTATGTTTCCTGCAATCACTGATCACTAAGCTTACTATATCCAACTTAAAACAGGAGGAGCTACAAATGTAAACATGTTTTTAATTGGATAAAAGACAGTCCTCAGTTTCCCCCTCGAAGTGACCAAGAAGTCCCACACAGAGCGGCCAGAAACATAAATAAATCTGGCACCTTACTGATAGCATCACATTCTTGTGACAGATATGTTACTTTAGGGCAGTTTAACACCGTTTGTTTAAATTTGAGTTGACTGATATGTCATTGAGGGACTAATTTGTGTGTCAGGGGTCTAAACTGATGGTTTACAGGTTGTGGTGTTTGACATTTGGTTCTTTCTGTCTTAAGCTGTCTGGACATAGTTTGTCAGTGTTATCACACTGAACAGACATTTGCACTTAAATAAATCAGAACTTAAATCTCAAATATGTATTGGTTTGTTAGTTTTAATTAGGGAAAGTAACCCTTCACACCACCGGAAGTTGTCAAGAGTTTAGTCACGTGACCTCTATCAGTAAAATGATTGGCTCAAACCTATCGTCTGCTGTAGCAGTATACTTCTTTTACTGTTGTGGTGGACGATTACTTTTGGATTATACCTTGGCTATTGCATTTTTATGCTCGGTCATGGCTAAATTGTGTGTTTCAACTGTTATTTTCTTGGAACTCACTTGGAATACCAGTCTCTTACTAACTATTTATCATGATGCGACTTCCAAGTGACACCACTGGAGATTTGTCAAGAAAGGTATGAACATATTGGAATTCTGGCACCTCTATAACTAATGAATTTTCAAGTGGAAAATATCAAGAGTACATTTATACCAATAAGGCTTGTGTATGCATTAATATTATATAGAAGTTTAAACGCTAGTAGAATTTTGCATCTTGTGAATATATGTGCATTTATGCCATCCAACAAGTCAGAAAAAATAGAAACAAAAGAAAAAATAATGGCATTCCTCCTGAGAAAAATGTAAGACATCGTAACATAATGGTAGCCAATGTCGTCCTTGTCAGGTATGCATACAGTTGGGACAATTTAAAAAAAGATGATCCTCATCATGAAATGAATAAACCTTATTATCCAGGTGAAAAGCATTAATATCCAGTGAATATATTTTGTAACATGGAAAGCTAATAAAAGTACAAAAAAGTTGTTTCAGTAGAAACCTCTGTTTAAAAACTCCAGTTGACAGAGACTATAGAGTGAATATGTCATCTGCTAGCAAATTGTATTTACTGTTTGTAGGTCGCACTTGAGAACGAGGCTTGGTTTTTACGGGAAAAGATATCAATTACAAAATTGAGGCTAAGCTCGCACACTGCATGTCGGGAATCGAACCCTGGTCTTCCGCGTGACGAGCGAACGCTTTAACCTCTAGGTTACCCGACCGCACCTGTACTGTGAAAGGGTCAAACGGATTCGCCAGTTTGTCTATAGGTTGGCAAACTATTTTCTATTACGGTACTGTCGATTTGTGTCAAAGACCATACACCGCATCCATATGCGGGTCTCCGTGTGCACGCGTGGCCTTTC